ATGGCTCGCAGTCGAATAGCTGAGCCTGCCAGAGGACCCCTTCCTCACACGCCTTCTTTGCCTCCTCCTGGCTAGCCAGGCTAATTAGGGCTGTAGCCCTTGTAATACCTTCCCTTGTTGGGATCCGGAACCGAACTCTTTCAACTGTCGACAGTCCAGTCGACCTGCCGAACTCCTCCTCCGTTACCCCCTTCAAGTCTCTCTCCAATATCCCCTTCGCTAGGACTGTAAAGGTCCTCTTCCTCTCCTCTGCAGCCTCCCCGAAGGCCTTTGTTATCCACCCTCTATTCCCCTCCTTTTCGTGCCACTCCTTTGTTTCCGTGTCCCTAAATGTAACGATCACATCACCACTTGGGAGCCTCCGGGCCGCAATGGCTCCCTTCCTCTCCGACGCCCCGGTTAACTGCCTGGACCACTTCTTGTGGTAACCTCCTCGTTAACGATGGCTCCGTCGACCCCCGAACTAGCACCTCCCTATAAAGCCTTCCTGGTATAACCTTCTTCGGGGGTTCCTCGGCCGCAACCGTAGCCCACGAACGGGCTGTCGATACGGCCCGACCCCCTTTCTTTAACTCCTGTATTTCCTTCTGGAGCTCCCCCGTTACCTTTCCAACCTCCTCCTTCACCACCCCCGCCACGGCCTCTATAATAGTCTTCCGGAGGCCCTCTGAACTAGCCGCTTCGAGGGCCCCGATCTTTGATCTTTGCTTCCGTAGTCATTCCATCAGCTCGTCGACCATATAGTACGCCGTGTCCCGGTCGTCCGTCTTCACCGTATCCATCAGCATCCCAGCTATTGTCTCGTCCTTCAATCCTGCAAACGGGGTGCTCCCGTCGAGGCTATCGTTGTCGTCGTCGTCATCGTCGTCGTCGTTCATATCTTCATCGCTTTGGTGAGCTCTAATTGGCTGGGTTCTTCCGGGCGGTGGGGCGGGCCCCACAACTGGGACAGATTTTTCCTTTCCTCCCGTCGACAGTCCCCCTGTTCTCGAGGCCATTGTAGTTGCCCACAATGGCTCCCGCAACAGTTGGGCCGCGGCCGGGGCTTAGAGCATTGCAAGCCCTCTCGAATGCAGGTGATTTCGTGTATTTTGACGCAGTTAACGCAAAGCTGTCCCTTTTCATGGCCAAGGGGTCTATGAGTACCCTTCTATAATAACATGCGTAAAATTATGAGTATAATCCCAAATCTAGTAAACTATGGTAACTAGTGAAATACAAGGGAAGGTAGAAGAAATATTAAATAGTTATATTAAAGTAAGTTAAAAACCTAATAAATTGTAGAATAAAGCTATAGATACAGAATACCAGGGCCAAATATGGGATTGTAGATGACGATGTCTACAACTTTGACGAGACTGGGTTCATGATGGGCATGATCTTCCCAGGTATGGTAGTTACGACCTCAGATGGCCGTGGCAAGGCAAATCTGGCCCAGCCTGGTAATCGCGAATGGGCGACTGTGATCCAGGGGGTCAACGCCCTTGGCTGGGCCATCCCTCCATTCATCATCCTGGCCGCGCAATACCACCTCGCCAACTGGTACCGCGAGTGCAATCTACCACTCGACTGGCGCATGGCAACTACCGACAATGGCTGGACTACCAATGCAGTTGGCCTTGACTGGATCAAGCACTTTGACTACCATACGGCGCCCCGGACAAAGGGTATATACCGGTTGTTGATCCTCGACGGCCACGAAAGCCACCACTCCACCGAGTTCGAGCTCTACTGCCGGGACAACAAGATCATCACACTCTCCATGCCCCCGCACTCTTCCCACAAGTGCCAGCCACTTGATGTTGGCTGCTTCGGGCCACTGAAGCAGGCCTACGGTCGCTATGTTGAGGAGCTCATGCGGGCACATATCAACCACATCAGCAAGCTCGAGTTCCTTTGCGCCTTTCGCGAAGCCTTCTTCGCTTCCATGACAGAGAAGAATATCCAGGATGGGTTTGCAGGGGCCGGCATCGTACCATTCGATCCAGAGAGGGTGCTTTCTAAGCTGCATGTCAAGCTTCATACACCAACACCCCCAAACTCCCGGCCTGGCACTGCACAACCTTGGGTCTCTAAGACCCCACACAGCCCCCAAGAAGCCAGCTCGTAGTCAAACCTTATCAAGACTCACATCGCTAGCCATCAAAACAGCTCCCCAGCTTCAATGTTGGCTGCTGTTGACCAGCTAACCAAAGGTACAACGGCTGTAATGCACCAGGTGGCTCTCCTTCAGTCAGAGGTCTCTTCGCTCCGCAAGGCCAACGAGGCACTGAGCAAGCGACGGAGGGCCAAAAAAACACGTGTGCAGCTTGGAGGGTCACTTACTGTACAGGATGCACAGGATCTACTAGACCAGAGGGCTGTAGGTAAGGGGGGAGTGCAGGAAACGCAGCCGGATGGTAGTGGTACAGGGGGGGCTCGTACGAACGTTCGGTGCTGTAGTAGATGCCGCAAGCCTGGCCATAATGCCCGCACTTGCCAGGAGGGTGCAGAAGCCACTGATACAGCTGTTTCTGATGTAATTGTAGTTATTTCCTAGTGTTGTTGTAATATTTCTAGGGATAGTTAATGTAGTGCTGTGGGGGCTGGGTCATTCGTTGATATGGGTCATTCGTTGATAATATACGTTATAGCATAGTAAAACAAGAAGTAGTAACCTCATGGTTAGAAGAAATAGTTAAGGGTATTTATTATAAGAAGTACCCGATATTATTAACCTTCAGATTACCTGTTAAACCTAGGCTTTAAAAATGATTTATAAGGATTATGATATTATTATTATTCATACTCCGCTATGCCCTAGGGCGTGCCGGACCCTCAGCTATTTAGTGTACAGGAAAACCGTGCCCTCCCGGGCCGGTGAAAAACCCATACCAACAATCAAGGAGCGATGCGTTTTAGTGAGCCCACATATACAAAGAGAGGAGGCCTCCTGGCCTCCGAACGGGGGCGCTTCAGGCCACCGCTTCCAGCTCGAGCCTCCTGGCTAAGTTGTACATCGGCAGCTTCCCCGAGTCCATCAGCCAGTCGAGGACTCTCCTCGCGAGCCGTGCAGTCGTGGGATTGATGCCGTGTAGAACAGAGTAAAAGTCCCGTCGTGTCCGAATTCCAGTTCTCTCCCGTCTTCGAGTCAACGGTGGTGCCAAACACCACACTACCAGGTGTTCGGCAGTCTCTCGTCCCTCGCCACACTCGCAGGCAGGAGTCAGAACCTCCGGGACTTCCCATGTAAACAAGAAGTCCCGTAAGCCTATTGCTCCCGTCCGGATTTGAATCAGCAGTGAGCTCTTTGCCTTGCTGAGACCGTCGTGCCTCCTTAGGGTTTCGTTCCGGAATAGCGTCTCCTGCTGATGGTCAAAGTCGTCCGCCGGCCTGGTGATTGCCCTGCCGTCCCGTTCCTTTAACCACCTGGCTTTCCAAGCCTCTTCTACTACCCTGTTCGTATCAACGGTTCCCCCCGTCCAGCGCATGACCGTGCCCGCGGCTCTCTCCACCGCCGTAGGCCCTTGAGGTCCCAAGGTTCGCGGTCGGCCCCTGTTGCCCCTCCTCGAGCTAAGTCTCTGCTGTATCTTGCGGCAGGCGGTGAGGACAACGCTCCCCGCCGTCTTCTTGCCGCTTTGACTGTCGTCTAGGTCGGTTCGCTGGAGTCTGGTCTCAAAGTCCGCAAGCCGTTTGTTGAGATATAGGTCCAACGGTGGCACCCATGTCTCCGTCTCGAGGTTGCGGATGGGGGTAGACTTAAAGGCTCCCGCCACAATCCGCAAGCTCTTGTTCTGGGCCTTCCCGAGGGCCTTGGTGATGCCTTTCTTTGCCGGCTCGCCTCCCACATCCGTGGGGATGTGAAACGATGATGCGCCATAGGCCAGCGCCGACCGGATGCACTTTGTGTACACTTCTCGCGCTTTGGCTAGCCCCATCCCCCATGTCTTTGCCACGATCCTCGACAGGGCATAGCTCTGGGTCCTCAGCTTCTTCTCCACCGCCACCAGTTGGGCCTTCCAGTTGAGTTTCCAGTCCAACCAGACTCCCAGGAACCTGGCAGACCCTTCTGGTTTAACGGGGCTGGTGCCTCCCCTTGGGTTGGCAAGGTTTACTTGTTCGGTCCACTGCCGTCGCCCTTTGTTGAAATGGATCAGTTCGCTCTTTTCCGGGGCGAACTTCATCCCCCGACTGTCCGCCCATCGTATACACGTTTCCCACGCCGCCTCTAGTTGCCGGACATTGGCTTCGGGGTTTCGACCAAATACTAGAAGGTTGGTGTCATCCGCAAACCCTGTTATAGCCAAGTGAGGGTGCTCGTCTTTTAGCTGCTTGTATAATGAGGAAATGTAGAGGATGAAGAGAACAGGGGAAAGGGGTGAGCCTTGGGGGACCCCTGCCCGAATTGCCGTCGGCGCCGCCGTCTTGCCGTCGAAAAGAAGGGTGGCCTCTCGACCGGTCAACCAATCTCTCGTCCAGAGGACCAGCCACCTCGGGAAGCCCATTTCTCGCAAAGTTGCTAGCAGTCGGGTATGGTTGACCGTGTCAAAGGCTCCTGAGATGTCCAGTTGCAATAGGGATGCCGCACCCTTCTGTCTCCACGCCTCCTGGACCTGAGCTACTACTAGCCGGACAGCCAGCTCTGTAGAGCGGTGTGCCCTGTTCCCCATTTGTTCATCTGGTAGGAGGCCGTTGACTTCTGCAGCTTGAGTGACCTTCCTGGCGACCACTGACTCTATTACCTTCCCCAGGGTTGGCAACAGAGCAATGGGCCTGTATCCCCCCGGGGTCTGATACGCCGGCGGAGCCTTTCCTGGTTTCGGTAGTACTACAGTCTTCAGGATTATGATATTAAGGATTTTACTCTAGTGCCTATAAGGAATAACCCTAAATTAGTGAAACCTCGAGACTTAATAATAGATACTCTCCTCTTAGTAACTAGAAGGAAGGATCGATTATATCCCTCCTATAAGTAACCTATAAGCTTTAATTCTATTTTGTACCGGCATAAAATACTTTAGTATAGTAGACGCTAATGGAGCTGACTAGTTTAGAACTATCTTAGGATTATTATATACTTCTAAATTTATAACGTGATCCAACCCCAAGCGACGCACACTCCTAAGCGACGGATACCCCTAAGCGACGCACTTTTCCACGCGTCACACATTTCCATCTGCTATACAACATTTCCCCGCGACCAGCAATGGCAACTCACTGTAAAGAAAGCCAGGTTATCCTGACAATTGAAGCTATTCGACGAGAACAGAAACTTAGTCGCCGGAAAGCTGCAGCAATCTACAACGTGCCCGAAGCTACGCTCCGCCACAGAATGAACGGACGAACGCCAAAGTCCCAGTCACAACCTGCACCTCATCGATTGGCAGATTGAAGAGGAGGCAGTTGTTCGATATATATTGGACCTAGATGCGCGAGGATTTCCGCCCCAGTACGCTGGTGTTGAAGATATGGCCAATTTGCTACTCGCGCAGCGCGACGGCGGACGTATCGGCAATCACTGGGCCGAAAAGTTCGTCAAGCGACAACCAAAACTCAAGACGCGTTTCAATCGCGCATACGACTTCCAGAGAGCCCTCTGCAAAGATCTAGAGCTTATTGGCGCGTGGTTCAAGCTTGTGCACAACATGAGAGCGAAGTACGGCATCCACGACTGCGACCTCTACAACTTCGACGAGACCGGCTTTATGATGGGCGTTATCTGCGCGTCTATGGTAGTGACACGCGCTGATTGACGTGGAAGGGGCAAGGCAGTTCAGCCTGGGAATCGGTAGTGGGCAACTGTCATCGAGTGCATCAATGGCGAAGGGCGGTGCCTCCCGCCGTTTCTGATCGTGCAAGGCATGTACCACCTCGCAAACTGGTACACAGAGAGCAACCTTCCGCTCGACTGGGCTATCAAACCAACTTCCAATGGGTGGACCGACAACGAGACCGGCCTAGAATGGGTCAAACATTTTTATAAGCTCACAAAGTCTCGTACGAAGGGTGTGTATCGGTTGATTGTGCTTGATGCGCATGAGAGTCACCTGTCGGCCAAATTCGAAGCCTTTTGCAAGCAGAACAACATTGCCACCATCAGCCTGCCGGCTCACTCATCCCATATAACCCAGCCACTCGATGTTGGGTGTTTTAGCGTCCTGAAAACGGCGTACGGTCGGCAAATCGAGCACTTCGTCAGAGCGCATATCAACCACATCACCAAGGTCGAGTTCTTCCTCGCCTTCAAAGCCGCCCACTTTGCCGCCATGACCGAGAGCAACAACAGAGGGGGTTTCAGAGCTGCAGGTCTAGTACCCTTTGACCCCGATTCAGTGATATCCAAGCTGGATGTCAAGTTACGGATGCCAACACCAACTGGTCCCCCCTCCGCCGCTGCCGATCCTTGGTCCTCCCAGACGCCACGGAACCCAACAGAGGCTGTCTCGCAATCCGAGTACATCAAAAGTCGGATTGCCCGTCACCAGGGAAGCTCGCCGACGCAAATTCTCACTGCTGTCGACCAGCTTGCGAAGGGGACGCAGGCGTTGGCGCACTCGGTTGCCCTAATGACGGCTGAGATACGTACCTTACAGAAGGCAAATGAGGCACTGAGCAAGCGCCGGAAGGCCAAAAAAACACGTGTGCGTCTTGGAGGATCACTTACTGTAGGAGATGCACATGATCTATTAGCCCAGAGAGAGGTGCAGGAACAGGTAGAGCGTGAAACGCGGGAAAATGGTGGTCGGCGGGGTCAAACATAGACGACTCCACGGCGTTGTGGCAAGTGTGGAAAGCCTGGGCACAATGCGCGCACGTGTCAGGGAGATGTGGTAATGTCAGATGTATATAACCCTGTATAGTTTCGGTGTATTACAGGCGTTGTGGTGGTGTAATTAATGTTTCTTGTCGTGTGGTTGTGGAAAAGTGCGCCGCTTGGGGGTGGACCACGTTAATAGAATTATTATTATATTATTTCCTACACCGATATGCCCGTGGGCGCGCCGGTCCTTCTACCGCTATTTACAAAGGAAACCGTACCCTATGGGCCGGACAAAAACCTCTGCCTACCCCTTCGCGACTACAATGTATGAATCCATCTTACTACGAAAAGAAAGGAGCCCTTTGCCGGCCTCCGGACTCTCTAGCCCTCTCCCTCCACGGTTTCTAGCTCTAGCCTTCTGGCTAGACTGTACTCCAGTAGCCGACCAGAGTCCATCAGCCAGCCAAGGACCTTCCTAACAAGCCTAGCGCTCCGGGCACCTACTCCCCGTAGTACGGTTTGTAAGTCTCCATGTGACCGAATCTCCCGGTGTTCCCACGGTCTCTGTAACGTTGGGTCAGGACACCAAGTGCTCCACTGTCTCCCTGCCTTCCCCGTACCCGCAGTAGGGGGTACGGACCTCCGGGACCTTAACCCTGAATAGGTAGTCCTTAAGGCCTATATCAACCCCCTCTTGCCTTGGTCTCTGTTGCTCCCACCGGGCCTGCCAGACTAGTTCCATCACTTCGTCGGTTTTCAACTTCTTGCCTCTCTTTTCTCCTGTCTTCCACCTCTGGCTAGCCCACCGGCCCACTATAATAGTGGCTTGCTCGGTGGGTGTTGGGGCCTGCGGGCCATGACGGGCTTCTGTCCTCGGCCCTTCTTCTTCTTTCTAAACCTGCGGTAGACTCTTTGCAAGCCTCTGTGATCAAGTGCCCCGGGGTAGTCTTTGGGGCTTCTGGTCCCGCCCCTGTTTGTAGGGTCTCTTTGCGTAGCCGGTCTTCGAAGTCGGCAAGCCGTTTGTTGAGGTAGAGGTCCAGTGGTGGCGCCCAAGCCTCCGTCTCTAGGCACCTAATAGGGGGCGATTTATAAGCTCCAACCACCATGCGGAGGCTCCTGTTCTGAGCTTTCGACAGAACCTTTGCGATCCCTTTTGGCTTGTTGGTCCCCCCTGGAGCTGTTGGCTGGCGGTAGCTAGAGGCTCCGTAGACTATAGCACTGCGAATGCACTTGGTGTACACCTCTCGGGCCCGGGCAAGGCTCGGGCCCCACGTCTTGGCCGCAATCCTTGACAGGGCAAAGTCCTGGGTCCTTAGCTTCCGTTCAACTGCCTGGCAGTGAGCCCTCCATGATAGCTTCCAGTCTGTCACGAATATGCCAACAGGTGGGACTCGGGGCGCGGGACGCCCCGAGCCAATCGCTCGGCGGACCAGTCAGGACAAGGAACAGGAACATCAGTCAAGCTGCAAGGTGCTAACGTGCTATGGTGCTAGGACAGAACATAGCACATAGCAACATAGCACCTGGCGTCCCATAAGGAAAAGTACGGAGATACTTCGAATCCTAGATAGTATATAGCCATTCGTTCTGGAGAGCTCTGGGAGTTCTCCAGTTAGCAATCACAGCTACAGTTCGCTACAAGCTCGAGAGCCGTGCACCCTTTGGCTGCACCGAACCTAAGCACCCTTGAGAGATTACCTTCAACCGAAGCTGAACCCTAACAGGACAGGGTCCTGAAGTAGGTTCGTCACAAATATCTATCGGTATAGTACTATCGATGGGATAAGAAGCTAAGGAGCTAAGGGCTTGGCTATATGGTGAAGATGGAGCATGGACCACCGGATTACATAACCTACTAGGTTTGGTTCCGTGACAGTACCTCCCCCTTCCAAGAGTGTTCGTCTCGAACACTCCAAGCAGGCCTTATACAAGCTAGGAAAGAAATTCTCACACTAACCCTACTGCCATTCCGAGATGTTCCTTAGCGTTAATGTATCGTTCGACAGTTCGGACGTGTTGCATAGCGGCGAAACCCACTCGGCGGACTATCATCCTGAGTCGTGTAGAGCGTCGTGGTCCCATTGCGGGCTGCTGGAGAGCACGGGGCCGCTTTACCCAGTGTGGTGGCTTGGGCTTATCCGGGTTAGCGTCGTGGAATGCTAAAATAGCTTGTTCTTGGCCTTTAAATCTGACGCGGGTTGCCAGGTTGGCCGGTGATGCTTCCACTTGATCAGGTAGTGGTACCCGTCTTGGTTGTGGCAGTCCAGAAGTCCATCAAACAGCCATTTTTCTACTATCTCTCCTGTGCCGTCGTCTCGTTCCAGGATGCGGCCACGAATGTCCCGAGATTCTGCTTCGTTTATTTCGACCTGGACTCTCAGACCATGTCCTGTGATTGCGAGGCGTAGCAGCAAATGGTGGAACACGGGAAAGATCCTCATCTCTTCGGGCAATTCCAAGGCACACGCACGGGGGTAGGAGGCGGTAATTTTGTACGGTCCTGCCCACTTATCGTCTCCCTTCTTCATCGGCCTATTGGTCTTCATGTTCCGGGTGTTGACAAATACTCGTTCTCCCACCGAGTACCGGGGAGCATCCTCGCGACGGGCGTTGGCGTTTTGTTCGTACCGCTGGGTGGCTTCGGCGGACAGGGCTTTCAGTTGGGTCAGGATCTGATCGAACCGGTCCGCAATATTGTGTGCGCGCATGAATTCCTTCTTTTGCTGCGGAGTCTTGTCCGGAGAGCATGGGGTCCGGGGCTCGAATCCCAGGCGCGGGTTGAAGCCATAATTGGCAAAAAATGGCGAGAAGCCCGTGGTTTCACTGACCGTGTTGTTGGAGGCGAACTCGGCGAGCAACAGCCAATCGACCCAATCGTCCTGGTGGAAGTTCATGAATGCCCGTAGGTATTGTTCCAAAATGGCGTTGACCCGTTCTGTCTGGCCGTCGGTTTCCGGGTGGAAGGCCGAGGAGGGTTTCAGTGTGATTGATAGCCGTGCAGACAGCTCCCTCCAGAATTCCGAGACGAACTGGGTTCCTCGGTCCGAGATAATTGTGTCTGGGGAACCGTGAAGGGCGTAAACTCGCGCCACAAACTGCTCTGCCAGTTCTTCTGCGGTCAAGCTGGTGACCGGGATGAAGTGTCTCATCTTTGTCAGCCTGCAGACGACGACGGCGATGTGTTTGTACTTGCGGCCCGTCCGTTCGCAGTCGGGCAGCGGTGTGATGTAGTCAACCGAGATATCTGACCAGGCACGGAATGGGACGGCGAGGGGGTGCAGGAACCCGGCGGGTGACGTCCGGGGGGCCTTCGTTCTGACACAGAGCTCGCATGCGCGGGCGTAGGATTGGACATCTCGCGACAGTCGCGGCCACCAATACGTTCTCGAGACCAGCTCTGTCGTCTTGTATCGGCCCGGGTGTCCAACCGGGCCCGAGGAGTGGGCGCGGTATATGATCTGGATTTTTAGCTCGTCGTCGTCGGCGGGGACAAACAATCGATCCCGGTAGTAGATTCGCCCTTCCACCACCTTGCAGTCGGCCATGGCAATCCTCATCTCTTTTCGGATTTCTTTAGGCCAGCGGCGGGTGGTATGGTCTTGGAGCGAGTCGAGGGCGATGCGGATCATGTCGCTTCTCTGGTATGCATGGTCAATAAGGTCATCGATCGGCGTAGCATCGTCTGATAGAATTAGCCGTGCGGGGGCGGCAGTGATATCGCCAGCCTCATTGGCTTCGCGGATCAGTTCGGCGAGTACCGCTTTGTCAAAGCGGTCAGGTGGCAGCATTGTTCGCTGTCGGTTCTCGATGCGGTCATCGTCGGCATCCGCGCGAGCTGGGCGGTCCTCTGGTTTACGGCTAAGGGCGTCGGGGCGAATTGCCTTAGAGCCTGGCCGGTACGTGATCTTAAAGTTGAACCCGGTCAGGAACTCCGACCAGCGGACTTGTCGCTGGTTTAGCGCCTTTGTCGTAGTGAAGTATTCTAGGTTCTTGTGATCCGTGAGGACGTCGAACGGCTCCTGGGTTCCCTAGAGCTCTGGTCGCCACTCTTCCAGACACTTGACGATGGCTAGAAGTTTCTTATCGTAGATTTCGTAGTTGCATTCCGCGGCGCTGTGCTTTGCCGAGAAGTATGCTACGGGTCGCAGCACGCCCTCATCATCGATCTGCGAGAGTACTCCCCCGGACGCCCAGTCTGAGGCGTCAGTTTCCAGCACTGTTTTTCGGTCGTAGTCAAACATGGCGAGGACTGGCGCGGTGATGAAAGCTGTCTTGAGGGCCTCGACTGAGAAGCCCCTGATAAACTGTCGGTAGAAGTTGGCAAACCCCAAAAATCGCTGGAGATCGCGGAGGTTCGTTGGCTGTTTCCAGTCTCGGATCGTCATCACCTTCGCGGGGTCCATCTCCATGCCCCCGGGCGTGATGATCAGGCCTAGGTATTTGGTCCTGGTGGTCTCGAACTCGCACTTGTTGATGTCGATCTGGAGGCCTGCATCTCCCAGGCGGCGGACAACTTCGCGGACGTGGTCACGGTGGTCTTTCCTGGATTCCGAGTAGACAAGGACGTCGTCAAGGTATGCCGTGCATGTCTTGTCAAGCAGGTCAAATAACGTATGGTTAATGAAGTGCTGGAATGAGGCGGGCGCGTTTCAGAGGCCGAACGGCATCACCATGGACTCGAAAAGGCCGAATCTGGTGATGAACGCCGTCTTCCACTCATGTCCCTCTGCGATGCGGAGCTTGTTGAAGGCGGGCGATGATATCCAACTTCGTGTAGACCTTGGCACGGCAAATGGCATCGAGAGTCTCGCGGACCAATGGCAGCGGGTACCGGTTCTTGATTGTGACGCTGTTCAGGCCTCGGTAGTCTTGACAGATACGGACTCCCCCTCCCGGCTTCGCAGCGAGGAGAAGGGTCGCGGCGCACCGAGCCCTAGACTCCCTGATGAACCCCTTGCTTAGGTTGTCGTCCAGCCACTTCCGCACGACCTGTAATTCCGCGGGCGACAGAGGGCGTGACTTTTGGTACGGGGGTTCCCTTCCCGGCTGGATTTCGATTTTGTGACCCCACGACCGGCGGGGCGGTAACTTGTTTGCGTCCTGTGGGGAGAAGGCTCTGGCGAGATCGTGGAGCCAAGGGGGAGTTTCTGAAGAAGCTCGGTGCGTGACAGTTCCGGCTTGTCCTCCATGAACTTGTTGACGTCGGCTGTCGTGATCTTTGCGAGCCGTGTTGGGTGGTAACATTCATCGATGAAATCATGGAATTCTTCCGGGAAGAGCATCTTGGCCCGAACTGGGCTACCCCTCCCGAGAAGCACGGGGCGGAGGTCTTGATGGTCGATGTCAGGCATGACCGTCGGGCGCTTCGGTTCTTTTGTGGCATTGTCGAGCTCGTCCCAGGTGATCTTGAAAACCCTGGGTTCCTGGGGACTGGCTGTATTGGGCGAAATTGATGGCTCGGACCATGCGGATATCGGCCAGGTCGGGGCGGCCCGTCTGCGGGGCAGGCCCGCTGTGGTCCTCCGGGGACGGTGCCGCCCGTGGCGGCAGCATCTTGGGAGGTGTCTTTCCGCGGCGGCGTTGGCCGGCGACGGGGCGTACCTGAACTGGGTGCGTATTTCCTGCTGTGGCGATCATTCGGGCCCTGGACCCACCTTCTGACGAGGTGCTCCTGGTTTTACAGGGATCTGTGCCTGACGGGAGCGTGAGCTGTATCGGGAATTCTATTGTGCCTTCCGCCTTTGCAGGGCGCCGTGGTTCCTCCGGGGCGTCTTCGACTGTAGCTTGCCAGCGCTTCCGCGCCAGCTTATCCATCGGCTTGCTTTGCCGGACCGTATTGCGCCTGGGGTGCTCCCCGATAGATAGGCGGGGTGTTTGGCGCGTCCCTTCTCTGCCCAGACGCATGGAGTATCGGTTCACCTGGGATGTGAAGATCGTGGAAGCTCTTGGGCGGTGCCCGCTGGACGGGGGCGCGGTTGTCGAGCCACTCAGGGCAGCAGAGCGCCCGGCAGTAGTCGGAATTAAACGTGACTGACAGACTGGCCCAGTCGATGGCCGGGTTGTGACGCTGGAGCCATGGAAGGCCGAGGATGACCGGCGTTTCCGGGGAGAGGTCGGTAACGAAGAAAAGGGCCTGTTCCTCGTGGTTTCCAATCGTCAGTGGTGCAATAAAGTAGCTGTCGACTGGAAGCCTAGCTTTCTTCCCATCTGCCAGGATGAGGGTGCGCGGGTAAGGAGTTTTTAATGTTCTGATGTTAAGTTGGTCGACAAGCCTCCTATCGCAGAAGGCTCGTGTTGAGCATCCGCTATCAATCTGGGCATTCACGGGTATGCGGTGGTGCGCAGGGGACATTTGGGCTAAGACAATCAATGATTTGCTATCCGTGGACCTCAAACGGAGCGGCTTCCTTGACAGGAGAGCCCTCGAGATCCAATCTCGGCCTTGTGTTACTCTCGACCTCTGTCCGCGGCGATGGACAGAGGTTACTCGTTTCTCTGTTCCCCGGGGAAAAAATGGTCACTACCCGCTGCCTCGGACGTGGGCGTGATCAGTGTTGATGTACAGGAGTCTGGGGTTGATGAGTCGACCTCGCTGGTCGCATATCCCGCGGTGCGGATGTACTGGGAACGGTCACCGGGCTGAAATCGTGCTTGATCGTTCTGCCAGTTGTGGACCCTGGCGTCATGCGGCGAAAGGTTCCCATTGTTGCGGTGGAACTGCGGGCGCGGGTGCTGTGGGCGCGGCATTTGCTAGTAGTCCCGGGGGAGGGGGGCGGAGGGGCGGTTCGGGGGACCAAAGCGTGCGTCGGCCCTCCTCTTTTCCTCACACTCGCCGATGCCGTGGCCAGGCCTCTTGCAATAGAAGCAGAGGCCGTTTGCCTGGCACGGTTCTTTGGAGACAAACGGTCGGCGTATGGCATCAAGCTGCATCGGGTCCCCGTCGGCATGCTGGATATTCACCGGTTCTCGGTCGGGGCGGAACTGGGAGGTCTGGCGAGGCTGGGTGGGTTGGCTATTCCTTGGGCTAGGGCTTGTCATAGTGTGCTGCTTCCTGCTGGCGGTCCTAGAGTTTTTGAAAGAGCCTACACCACTTCGAAAATTCCTCGGTCCCAGGTACGTCGACTTGTGCGCGCAGCTGTTCGGCGAGCTCGTGTGACACTTTTTTCTTCAGGTCCTCAACTCTCTGAGCATCGGTTTTGTGGCATTGGGTTGCCAGGCTGATGAACTTGGCGATGAACTAGGGGTACGGCTGTCCCTTCATCCATAAATCGTCATAATCCAATGCCGCTGTCTTACTCAAGTCCATCATGGCGTAAATTCCGTCGAGGGCCGCAACGAGGTCTTTTGTCGAGTCCCACGGCCACAGTTGTCTGTTGTCCTTGCTCGCGGTGAGCACATCGAATCGGGCCTGGAAGAGCCGGTACGCTTCGCCTGTGAGGCGGCCCGCGGTGTATTGGAGCTTCTCGAACTCGGTCTTGAAGATGTGACTGTCGGTCTGAAGAACACGGCCGATGTGTGAGCGCCAATTGACATAGTTGACCTGGCGCTTCGCAATGTCCTTTTCTTCTCCTGAGAACGGCTCGGGGTCGGTGGTTAGGCGTCGCCTAGGCTTTTCGCGGGCCGAGCTGCCGTCTGTGACTGCCTTGGCCAGCGCTGCGGCCATTTTGCTGAATTCATCCGCTTTCTGCTGGCGCTCAAATTCTTGGTGGTTCAGGTAGGTTTCGATGGTATGGAAGGCGGCCTGAAGGCATTCGCTTACGGGGCTGGGCGTGGAGAGCTGTCCGATCAAAGCTATGGGGTCGACCGTAATGCCAGTCGATAGGCAGGCGGCGATTCGTGGGAACTTCTGGTACCCGTCGGCGAGGGCCCTGCCCCACTCGGCTTGCTGCTGGTCGCTGGGTTGTGACATTGTCGAGATCGGGTTATATGGGGCTATCTTCGAGCGGTCTGGGCCTGGGAATTCTGTCTGGTATCTGGTTTCTGCGCTTGGTCGGGTCGTGAAACGGGGTTCTAGGTCTGGAAAATTCTCAGTTGGGTAAAACGGGTTCAGGGAAGCGACGCGGCCACTCGTAGATGGTGCAAACTATCACGGTGTGGACCTTGGGTCGTGGTGATGATCTCTGTTGCACCATAAAGAGGTGAAGAAGCTAAGGAGCGAAGGGTTAAGGTGAAGATGGAGCATGGACCACTGTCACGGTTATGGCCGCCTGCAGCCGGCCGGCGGGGTACGCTGGCAGTATCCCGAACCAATCATTGGGGAGGGCTACACGGCCAATGAGACAGCGGTCCCATCGCTCATGAAGGGCCATGCCAAGAGAATGAGCAAGTGCTCATTCTGCTCAACAAGGGAGCTATGAGCACTCTGAGCAACCTGTGCTCAGAATGCTCAGCGACAGGTCCCTGAGCACTTTGAGCACACTAGGATAGCCAGTATATAGTCACTCGTTCTGGAGAGCTCTGGGAGTTCTCCAGTTAGCAATCACAACTACAGTTCGCTACAAGCTCGTGAAGCCTACTGTTGAGACAAGTCTTTGTTGTGCACCCTTTGGCTGCACCGAACCTAAGCACCCTTGCAAGATTACCTTCGACCGAAGCTGAACCCTAACAGGACGGGGTCCTGGAGTAGGTTTGTCACAACGAGGAACCGAAAGTGGGAGGCGGGGTACGCTCAGGAAAAACCCTGCTCGTACCTGCGCCCAGGCCACACTGCGCGGTGCCCCACCTATGCTGCGCGCAGACCCCCCATTGCCCCCATCCTGCAGGGCCCCACTTGGCCCGTCTGTAGAACCCCAACCCTAACTACATATAACAACCCTAACCCTACAAGGAACGGGCTGTGCCCGTGACAGGTAGTAGAAGTTCTTAGTTCTTTTACATTTTTCAAGTTCTTTAAATAGCTAGGTAGTTAGCTCGGTTGCCACCGAACGTGTTGCAATACCTCGCGAAACTAGTACAAATATCGTTAAGCTTCGTACCGTGGTGCTTGTTCCTTTTGGGTGGGGTGTTTGTGTGCCCCACCCCCGCATTGTGGGTCGCATCCATCCTTCCCCCCACCTCGCCAGATGAGTCCAACCTGGCCAGCTCCGACTCCTCCGTCCCGGCCGCTCGCACCTTTTCTCCCCCCAGATTCATTCCGGACAGAAAGAGATGACAGCCAACTCGGCCTGCCAGCACCAGCACGATGCGCGAATCAATGGCGTCACCAAAACCGACGCCCCGGTGACGGCCCATGCCACAATACCGCGGGCTTTGCCTGCAATATGCTTCGACCTGCGAGCAAAGATTGATGCATTCCTCTCGGAACAACCCGACGATGATGTCTTGCGCAACGTGCAGCGCCAAATTCGAGTGTCCATGGGCGTGATTCATGAGTCGCTGCGCCGATATGGGTACGTGATCCGATAGCATGGCCCGCGGCCGACAGCGGGAGTTATTCGGGCGAAACCAACGCGGCTGACTTGATCGTGCAATCCGGAAAGGGTTGATGACCTCTCTCTCTCATATAATGGCGGCAAGGACTGTCTCGTTCTTTTGGTTTTGATTCTCGCTTGTCTTCCTACCTGTGCCTCCGCCTCGTCGCCTTCCCTCGATGCTCCCTCGCCCCCAACGATCGATTCTGCCCCTCGACCCCTTCAAGCGATATATATAGTTTCTTCCGATCCGTTTTCAGAAGTCGAAGATTTCGTGGCGGCGTCCGCAGAACAATACCATCTCGACCTCAAACGCTATGCGCTCCCTATGCGACCGGCTCTTGAGGCATACCTGGAAGACACCCCAGCAATCCAAGCGATATTTTTGGGGACCAGGCGGACTGACCCGCACGGGGAGTTCCTGACACATTTTGACCCCACGGACGATGGCTGGCCGCAGTTTATGCGTGTCCACCCCGTCATCGATTGGCATTACGTCGAGATCTGGGCAGTGAGTTCGCTGTTTCTTTCTGGGTTTATGTATTATTCGAGGGTCGTGGGTGATTCAAACGGTGCAAATGGTGCCCGGGCTGACTCTTGCGCAGTTCATCCGGCACCTCCAGATTCCGTTCTGCGAGCTGTACAACCGGGGGTTCACCTCGTTGGGGGGGGTCACTAACACCCGACCAAACCCAGCGTTAGCACTTGGCGGAGACACTTCGAAGTTTCGCCCAGCATACGAGCTTAGGGATGACGACGAAGAGCGCCTCGGTCGGGACTGATTAAAGTCCCCACGCGATTCGTTTTGAACGGAGCCCAAACCGCTGAGATTTGCTGGCGCTTTACTGCTAGTAGACAGATGTTTTCAAGACTCCGTTATCCGTATCGCTCAGCCCTGAAGGTTACGTACGTCATGGCCATATCTGGGCGGATAGGACTGGCTTTACGTTACAACCTTTATTATAGAGGATAGAGAGCATCATAGACGGCACCCCGTGGTTGCATGAACACCACTGCCCTACGGACTCCCACCTAGACGGCATGCAAAGGAAATAGCTCAGCAAACGTTACGGTTCTTAGACAGGCGGGGAGGGGCTCCACTGTGGAAACTGGTTGGCAGAAGTCTCAGGAGGTTCAAGTTGATCTTGGAAACACTTGATATCTGGTATCACAAGAAGAGGTGGAGCTCCTGCTGCCAGTTTCCAAGTCCTGCTTATTACAATAGTTCCAAACTGCGTTCATACATTGCTACATTTATTTGGTTTAGCACCGTGTTCGCCCGAGGAAATTTATCTCGCCACCCTAGCATGCCCCCCCCCCCCCCCAAAAAAAAAACATATGCAAGGGAGTTAGTTGCGCGTTCCCGGAATGTGGCTTATTCTCCTGCGTTCAACTTGGCCACTGCTCGTTTAGCACACACTCGGGACATCGCAACACTCACGCACGGTCTATAGCACACACTGATTCACAGAAGAAAAGCTGACCGGTTACGAAATCAAACGTTTATTATAAACGGTTGCGAACGAAAGCTGCGATATCTGCATGACATCCCTCTTCTATGTGTACTGCCAAGCGCCGAAAGTGGCACTGGGCAGTGAGTTGATCTTCAAGTTTATGGGGTGGCACTCGTTGTACTTCTCCGCGTTCGTCTCGTTGCGGGCCACCAAGTTCCAACCCGGACCACCACCGCCTGAGGCCCTCGGGGGGCAAGCAGCCCAGCCCCAGCCATTTCCGTTAAGGTTAACAAAACCGCCGCCCTCGTAGGCACCGAAGCCATCCAAGATGCTCCCGGCAGGGATGGCGGCCGAATGAGCCTGTGTGTAGCCCATGTTCCAGAACGGGTCCAGGTAGGCTTGCTGGCCGCCGGGGACCATGACGCTCATGGACACACGCCCGCCGGTAGAGACAATGACGGTCTCATCGCCCGGCGGGCAGGCATCGCCAACCTGCTCAGGGCAGTAACTGCTCGTCTCGCCATCGAGGGTCCAATGCCGGCCGGCCGCGGTGACAGGCTTCCCGTGGATAGGAAGGGCGGGGTTGTCAACGGTAAGAGTGAAAGGGGTTTCCGTGGCCGGGAGAAGCGCTAGGACGTTATTGGTGCAAGAGTACATGAACTTGCTGTAGCATGCACCGGCGCAGTTGGACAGAGGCTCGCCGGCCGTGATGGGGCAAAGAAACTGGTTATCCCAGCAGACGTACTACATGCGAGACCTTGATCAGTCCAACCCATATGTTTCTGTCGCGGAGGGGTGACACGACTTACCTGGGCCGGGTCGTACTGCGCCGGACCGCAGGTCTCGAGGTCTCCCAAAACACCACTCGCCAGTCCCACGAGGGCGGCAGCGGCCAAAGTGAACCGAGTCATGTTGTGGGCTTTGTGTCTTTGTGTACTTGTCTAATTAACGACGGCGGTACCGGAACGGTGCTCAATGAGGTATCTACGGGGATAAATGTGTGAATATCGGTAGCCTAGATACATTTGAGAGGGTGGTAATGGGATTGAGGTCGACTTTATACTGCGCACACCCACAACATCCGGTTCCCATCATGCCGGGCCCGTTCGCGACACTGACGGGAGTGTTGCATCCTCGGGTCATATCGAGAACCGAAAAGGGGGGTAGTGGCTGCAGGCATTCGATCATCATGCAGTTTCTCGTATTCTCGGGCTCCCATCTCTGGGTCCAAGTTTGGAGAGGTATGAATGTACACAGGACTTACCCAGCTTGACCAGGAACTTCAGTGGCATGAGCTGAAGGAGAAGCACCCCGCGGAGAAAGACGGCTCCACAGCAGACATTGATTGGCTTTTGGACCAGCCACATCATACTTTATCAAGCCTCCGCCCTTGCCCTTGTCTTTTGGCACAAGCCTCGCGAATGGACGCGCTTGTTTTTCTCACTGGAAGAGATGCGTGCTGGGCCCGAGAAGGCGGGAGGCTGGACGGGGCCTGGGGTTGATGCGGGGTGCGGAAGTGATCGACCGCCAAGCATCTCGTATTCGACCCCTCCCCCCCAAGGAGCGAACCGGGCCAGCCAGCCCGGCTTACGGCGGGACGGCCGAAGCAGCGAAACAAGCTTCCAATCGGCGCGGCATTGTTTGTGATAGACCCACATCGGCAAGCTTTGCCGTGGCCAAGCTCACCGAGCCAACAAATGCGCGAGAGCTGCCTCGGTCGCCCTTTCGACTTCCTCGCATTGACGTCGCTTGCGTCACACAATCCGCACGGCCTCGCTTGGAGTTATGGACTTTCAACACAACCGACCCCCAACAGAAACGACGACATGGGCGGGGATTGGCAACGTCAAGGTTGCATGTGCGGGCCGCCGTATTTATATAGGCCGGCCCTCGCCAGCTCCGCAGCCTGTATCTCGCCACCTAGAATGAAGCAACCGAGTTTATGACAATGCCAGGAATTCGGAGCCTGACAATACGCATGATGAGTGCTCATAGGCGAGGGGGCCTGTTCGGCTTTCTTGGGCGGTTCTTCCTGAGGCGCCCAATATAGCGCCGCTGGAGCAGCGCTTTGCCGTACTCGTAAATGCCTTCCCAGAGCAAGACGATGGTGGTGAAAACAACTAAAGGAACGGCTATCTTCCAACTATTGAGCAGGTAGTCAGTGGATGGGACATGAAATCCTCTAAACCGAAGGGGGCAATGCGTACAAGTAGCTGATGTCCTCTTGCAAGACGCTAAACGGCTCGAAATTCTGTCCGAAATACCCAGTTAGGAACGTCAAGGGCAGGAAGATGATGGTTGCGACGGTGAGCTGCCTCATGGACTCGTTTTGGTAAGCTGATAGGGTATTAAAAATAAGCCCAATCATGCCGTCGGCCGAGCCTTTGAGCTGGTTAAGCGTCTCAGTGATCAGCACGCAATGGTCGAGCACATCCCCAAGATAGATGTAAGTCATAGGCGTGATAATCACGCCGTGGTTCGGGTCCAGGAGGTGCGTCATGACCACATCCGGGGACACCTTGGCTTCGTGGTCACGCAGAGTATTGATGAGCGTCGTGATGGGGCTGATGAAGGACAGGACTTTGTTGATTTCGGATATGAGGATATAGAGGCTCTTGGTATGCCCGATGTTAGGCCGGTTGAGGACGTCTAGTTCAAGATCACCTATCACGTCATCGTAGCAGGCCGTGACTGGAATAGCCAAATCGATTATTGCGTCCATGATGGCTTGCCCAACTAAGGAAGCATCGCATGATCTTGCACAGCACAGCGTCAGCGGTGGGCCCCGAGGGAGGGGCGGTTAGGTGGTCGGGGTGACTTACTGCCTGATGATGGTGTCATCGGTCTGAAGCCGTCGGATGATGGGCGTTTCAATATCATGCGCTGATTGCTCAAAGAAGCTAAGGATGCAGTTGTCATTGGTGAGGAACATGGACACCTGCTCGCAAGCCACGGCCAAGTTCCTTGGGGAGAGGGCAGAATGTTTTTCCATGTACTTGGTCCGTGGGTCGTTCGGCGAGGCATGGTAGCGCTGCAGTGTACGCAGTTGGCTGATATCTAACACCTCGGAGAAGCCAGTGGGTTGAGATCTTAAATAGACCCCAGCATTCCTAGGAATGGATGACCTCCCCGTGCCCAAGGATTTCTCTCCCAAGTTATCGGGTTTCCGGCGAAACGCTCTCTTCAGGCGCCGCAGTAGCCGTTTTGGAGATTTTGTGCTCCGCTTGCTCCGCACGCTCTTAGTTGTATCGTCTTCGGACTCCGAATCAGAATCCTCACTTTCTGATTCATATAAATGGACCAATTTTTGGAGCGTCAACACGATAAAGGCATGTGTTGGGAACCTGTCGGCGGTTAGCATCCAGTATGTCCACTTTCGAGGCCTTCCTATCTCCTCCACATACCATTCCGCCTTTGTCCTGTTTTTCGTGTTCATCATATCTTCGATTGCCAACCGGTGGAGGTTTTTATGCCGGCCCAGGGCTTGGATAACATCCCAACTAAGACCATTGACATTGATCCAGCGGCAACTGGCCCATTCAGGTTGGGGCAGGTTCAAGAATCCCGTTAGTGTTTTATTGTCGAGCCTCTGGAGGGTGAGGCGGTCTTTGGAGAAGTCGACAACGGTGATTTCGCAGGGGGCGCTCAGTGTTGCCATGGAGGCATGGCCGCCGTCCGGTTTGCTCGGATCCACACCCGGTTCAGCGCCGGCTGTAAGGGGGTTGCGGATGTCAGTAAGGCAATCAAGGAGGGGAAAGCGAGCAAAAGCTTGAGGGGATAGTGGGGTTCTGGGCTGGACATACGATGCCAGCCGCGGGGGACTGTGAAGTCATCGAAGTCATCTACCGTTTTAAAGGTCCCGACCCGGGTTGGGCGGCGTCGCATGCTGGGACTCATTGCGGCTTCGGTATCGGAACAGCCGTGGGCGGCTTTGACCGAGGCCCCGGTCGAGCCCCCGCGCGCGGTGCTTGCAAGTCCAGTGTCAATGCTGGGCGGGTAGTACAGATGTGAATTCCCTGGGCCACCACTTCCGCTTGGGTCTTCTGCATGATGCGCGGTAGCCGGAAACGGCGACGCGGAAGGTGGCGCCGATGAGATCGCGAAGTCCCGGGAAGATGGGTCCGTCCCCCCCCCGCCATTTTCGCCAGCCATCTCCAATGTTGTTGACCAGAGCGACAAAAAAGAGTATGCTCCCAATTCTCTCACTTGTTTCGGTGATTACGGATTCGGTTGATTCTGGCTAATTGAACTGGCGAAACATTGGTGAAGGAGGGAAACCCGAAAATGAAGCTCAGCCGAAGCAGCTGAAGCAACCCATGGGTGTTTGGAAAGGACATCAAGTTATCATGAACCAGGACCAGGGACAAAATAAAATGGGTCCCTGCTCCTGCACGGCACTGCAGCTGATGGACCCTTGACCAACAGGCTTGGAGTTGTCATATCGACCAATCGGAGAGCAGATACCGATAGTGTGCCTGACGACATCAGGAGGTGAAACCACCAAATCTGGAAGCTATTATTAGGGTGGGGTTTTGGATGGTGTTGGGCGTTAGGGATGTGCTCAGATCTGGAATAATTACCTAACTACACTAACTGCCAAACGGATTTGTTCATTATTCCATACTTACCTGAGACATACAGAACCCAAGAAAGGAAAACAAGCATTGAAGTTCTCCACCTCAGTTGGAAATCGCCCCACGGTCCATACAACTGGCCCAACCAATGTCGTCTGTGGCCCCAAGGGACGACTTTAAGGAAAGCAACTGGGTGTGGTACCCCGCACCGATTGTTGCAAGCGAGTACCGGGGGGAGAATAACTAGGCGGGCAGGGACGCTTCGGAGATTGTGTTGGCTATATAAGAATGTCTACAAAAAATAAAAAATAAAAAATGAATATCGGTTGTTGCAGAGCGCGGCCCGAGTGAAGCCAAGGTCTTGGGTTCTCAAAGATGGGCACATGTACCTAAGGTATCTATATTTTTCATTCTCAGGCGCGGGATGGGATTGAAATCCGCAAAGATATTAGCTTCCATACCGTCACTGCCAATCCTAATTTTTGTGGTTTCTCCTTGTCAGCTGCCAACTTGGGATACCATCCTTGCCAACACTGATCCCTCATCTTCCATCTTCGCATCTCATGCGATTCTCAGCGACTGGTACTATATGAGGTTTATAATGCTTGGTTCCTACTTTTTACGGTTCATCGTTAACCTCCTTTCACCGGATCCCACATCGTTGCCCTGTCTGGCCCAAGGGCTTTTCAAAAGGCAATTGATAGACGGGCATGGCACAAATGATACACGGGCATGGCACTATCCGGGCATGGCACTATCCGGGCATGGCACTATCCGGGCATGGCAATTTGGCAGCTCCTATTGGCTCAAAATTTCTAACAGCTGTCACCATCTCCCCACTAAAAGCGGTGAAGGCCAGTTCACTAACACTAACACCATTCCTGCTGCCTTCCAGATTGTCTTCAAAGCGATGGGTGTCAAGGTTTCAAAACAGTCAACCTAGCTAGCAAATATTATACATCGCCTCCACGTCGAGTAGATCGTGTATTATGCACAACCTCTTTGTCGCTGCCGCTCAACACGCATTCCCATTGAGATCTTCGTCTCCGTACGCTCGGTTGGACCTTCGGACTACTGGCACGCACGCCTGCTGCCTTTCCTGGCCCAAGTCCTGCATCTGGTCGCTGCGTGCTCCCCCACAAATCGGTTGAGACCGACTGCCTTCCCTTTGGATTGCGGCGTGTGCCTCCAGCCGAGCTAGTGTTGACTTATTCTTGCTCCCGCGAGGCCGGCCCCTGCCGCGCCGTGGCTGAATCCCATCTGGCAGACTAGCCCCTGAGCGCTCATCGGCTTGTCTGTTCTGGCTCTGAGCGCTTAACTGGGCGACGGCGAGATGGAGAGGAACTGGCCGGGCAATGTTCTTTGGCCTACCGCGAAGCGACGTGGCAATCTTTGGGTTGAGAATCCGACGATAAGGATCCTGTGACGAACCTACTTCAGGACCCTGTCCTGTTAGGGTTCAGCTTCGGTTGAAGGTAATCTCTCAAGGGTGCTTAGGTTCGGTGCAGCCAAAAGGTGCACAACAAAGGCTTGTCTCAACAGTAGGCTTCCGTGCTTGTAGCGAACTGTAGTTGTGATTGCTAACTGGAGAACTCCCAGAGCTCTCCAGAACGAGTGACTATATACCTATCTAAGTCCTATGTGCTCAGTGTGCTCAGTCTCCTCCGGAGTTCGGCGTCACTGAGCACACTGATCACTTTTAGTCCTTCCTGTGTTCTGATTGGCTGTATGACTTCTATGCTCAGTGTGCTTGGTTTCCCTTTGTTGCCTGTTTTTCTGATCACACTGAGCACACCCCAGCCTTCCCTGATTGGTCCTCGGGATGACTGGTTCGGGGTGTCCGCGCCCCGAGGCTCCACCTGTTGACATATTCGTGACAGATCCGTAGATGTCGATTGCCGCAAGTGCCATCTCGGGTGGACGTCCCATTTCGCCAGTGGGACATTACCTTCCAGCTTTGATAGAATCGTATGGCGACACGGGATACCTAACTCAGCAGATGACGTACAGTCCTCGCTGCAGAGTCCGATGCCTTTTGGCCTGGGGTTCGAAGGACTTGGGATTGCCGTCAGAGCTCTGCGGTGTTCCCGTGTAATGAGGCGCAGGGCTTTCTGAGAAATGACTTGGGGAAGCTCGCCTAGATACTCAGCACCTTGTCCAGTATACTCGCGCGAAGTCAAGACTTCGTCACGTGCACACGCCTCAATGAAGTCCCTCTCCTGGTCGTGCAACATGTCGGTAATGGCCTCGACAAGACGGTACAGGTGACTCATGCCATTCAGGAGATAAGGCTTGACGTTGTTGTTGCTCGCTTCCGTCCCAGAGGTGACCCGGCACCCGAAGTTGCGACACTTCCGGATAAAGCACCGGGCCCATTGCTCCCTTACAGGCATATAGGTCCTGTACAGGTACAACAAGATCGCCTTCTGCTCGCCGAACTCCTTACAAACATCTGCCCACAGCCTGTCATGCTCCGCCTCGGTTTCCGCAAACATAACCAGCTTCCACAGCATCACGACACCCTGATAAGTGTGTGGAATGGGCTCGGAAGACTGGCTAGGCCCAGAGTCGCGGACCATCGCCCTATCGCTTGCTGCCAAGATTGTCCGGTCCTGGGCGTTTTCGGTGGCACTCTCCTGATCACTGCCATCGTCTGTCCCTCCTCGTATCCACTTCTGTTTTGCCTCGAGTAAGACATTGGAGATGATGTGATGGATGCAGATCTGTTGTTGGCTCTCGGGGAACTGCTCGTTCAAGGCCTGTTTCATCTGGTCGCCGAAATCTGTGAGGATGGTATCGGGTAACCGGATGTTGTGTTGGATTGCGAACTGCCGGATGCCATCAGCGAGAAATTGGAAACCTTCCAACCTTTCGTTGTCGACAAGGCCGAATGCGGCATTAAAGACAGTTCCAAGGCAAGTCTGGCCAGTGGCCTGGAAAAGAGGGAGCTTGAAGCGGTTCGTGTTGTACGTATTGTCGAAGCTGAGTACTTCTGAGAACCGCTGCCACATGCGGATACAGTACGGGAATGTCCACACTAGACCGACAAGACGACTTGGCTCCGCCTCTGACCACTTCACCACATAAGGAACGCCCTTTTCGTCGAAGATCTTGATGAGCGCAGCCGTTGGGTTGTAGCTGTCTAGCTTTTGGCGTTTGATGAGGGCTCTGGCGTTGTAAATGTCCCTACGAGTCAGGGCGGAGTCTGCATGTTGGTTCTTGACGATGTTACTAACGTCTCGTGCTCGGATACGAACTCGGCGACTCGTCGCTTCAATGGTCACCTTAACGGGATTGTCGTTGTCGAAGACCAGTAACTTCGCTTTTCCTAGGCTCGCCGTATCTGTCACACTCTAGGGTATAACGTGATAGCCGACCTTTATGGGAATAGGCTTGCCGTTTGACGATACCAAATCCATGGACTTTTGCGAAGGCATTTACCCGATCAAAAAGGGCCTCGAATGTCGGTTCGGAATCGCCTGGGACCAGGGGAGTTGGTATTGTCTCCGGCCGGCTAGGACTTGATCTCGCGTCTAAATCCTCACCTTGCTCTTCCTGCGCGCGCTGGAGCTCGGTACTTGGTGACAAACTCGATCGGGAGCGAGAGTGGGGGCTGCCGGTCGAGGATCGACTCCATGTGATTCGTTCGTGAACAGTCCTTTCACGCGAAACGGTAGAACCATCCTGCGAAGTCACCTTCTCTCGAGATATGATAGTCTTCTCTTGAGTGACGGCCAACTCAGGAGACGCCCGATGGGAGTCACATCCAGACGAAGCTGGATGTGACTCTACATCCTCTTCCCTATAGATCTCGAGTGCACTGCGGAATCTGGTATGGAGGCCCCTCAACCGCGATCTTCGATCCTTCTCTTGCTCCGTTGCATCTCGTCGCGCTTGCATTCGTTCACTCCAGATCGGGCCTGGCAAAACTTGCCTGACCCGGTGCATCGGTCTTTCGGGGGTCAGGAAATCGAGGGAGAGACATATCTCGGAGTCGTTACGCAGTTCCCACCAGGGCTCCTCCAGCCCTCGGGCCCCATGGGGTCATGGTATTGCCGTAAAACGTTCTGGGGGAGCGGTCGCGAAGAAATTGTGCGAGGCATCGTCGTCACCATCGCCGTACCATTCCTCAGGGTCCGGCCCTAAGCCGCTGCTTGAGGATGTAGGCCCGGTCTGTTCGCGCGTATCGAAGGCATTGGGATGCCGTCGCTTCGTGAATCGGAAGTGCGCTTCATCTAGGTCGGCAATATCTTGTCTAGATCGTGATCGCTTTCGGGAGCTGTTGGGTAAGCCAGCCATTATGCGATTGATATTCATGCAAAGACAAAGGACGACAGCTGCCGGGTGTCGGACAGTGGACAGCTGGCAAACTTGGAGAGGATGCGGCAGAATTTTGATGGGGTGGACCCTGCTTAACAGATAATTTTGAGCCAATAAGAGCTTCCAAATTGCCATGCCCGGACAGTGCCATGCCCGTGTATCAATTGTGCCATGCCCGTGTATCAATTGCCTTTCAAAATACCTTTTCGGCTCCAGCTGGAGTGGCCCCCTACGGATGGATATACAAACACTAACAAACTTGGCCATCTTCCTTTCTCTTGTTCAAAGACGAAAGACATTTAAGGGCTGCTGCGCTCGATTTCCGGCTAGAAGCTGCCAGTCGCCCGAGAAGCCACACGCACACGCTCCCGGCAACCTACAAGGCAGTGGAAAAAGAACTCGCCATATATTTCGCCAAAGTTCGTCAAATTTGGCTCGATTTCTGCGTAAACAGACTCCCTTCCCCTTCCTTCTATTCATTTCCCAAAACTAACCATTCCTGGTGCATGATTCGGCGACCTCCCATCACAGAGATCTTGAAAACATACACTGTATCTGTGCCGCTTTGGTGGCTGTTTCTCTGACTCTCTCCTCACCAAGCACAGCCAACCATTTTGTTTCCTTAGCCCCGGTGCCACGTACCTCACAGAAGCAAGACTAATATTTATAGTTTCAAACACCAGCGGCTAGGAGATCGATACTTCAGCACTATCACAATCGCACTTTGCCGTAACCCAACGATAGGCGTAAGTTTGCCGCTCCTTCTCCGCAACTATGGCCTCCCTAAGACAGATACCAGAGGCAGATATTGCTGCTGCTTCCCCACGGGAAGTGGGAAGCACCCAGGCTATTGACACACCTACGATTCAACCTTATATCAGCCCTGCACCAAGCAGGAACCCTTCATGTTCTCACCATGCTTCCCCTGCCCCAGCACAAGTGTCTGCGGAGCTGGATGGTTGGGATGCGGTGAACGAGGGCCCTAAGAACGCAAAAGAGTACTGGAAGCAGGCGTATGCTGCTTTGAGACAACCTGACCTGTTGAAGCGGAAAAGAAATGGCGATACTGAAAACAAGCCGGCTTGTCACGATTATGGCCGCATGCAGGCGACCGGCGGGGCATGCTGGCAGTGCCCTGGACCAATCAGTTAGACGACAATACTAACCAATAGAAACAAGGTGCAAGTGGCCCGCAGTGATCTCTGGGAGATCACAGAACGGGACACAGATCACCAACTTATCCCCTTGATCTGTGATGAGGGCAACAAAGATCACTGAGCTCAAGTACAAGGTACTTGATGGTTTAGCTAGTATATAGTCACTCGTTCTGGAGAGCTCTGAAAGTTCTCTAGTTAGCAATCACAACTACAGTCGCTACAAGCTCGAAAGCCTACTGTTGAGACAAGTCTTTGTTGTGCACCCTTTGGGCTGCACCGAACCTAAGCACCCTTGCAAGATTACCTTCGACCGAAGCTGAACCCTTCCAGGACGGGGTCCTGGAGTAGGTTCGTCACACGGCTAAGAGACACCAGGGAGCCCGCACCAGCAAATGGCCAGATAGCCGAGATCCACGCCAGGTCGACAACGAATCCAGCAGTGATGATCCAACCACGACAAGTGTTGGGCATGTCGACAGCGCAAGCCTCCATCTCACGGAAAAACACAAAAAAATGCAACAGTTTCTGGGGGTGGATGTCAATCTCGACGACCCTCAAACCCGTGGAGACTTCCATAAAATCTACAACGCCGTCATGTCTTTCGGTCAGAGCGGTTGCAAACTGGTGGGCGGAAAGTGGCAGCTCGGGAACTTCAGCACATCGCTTTACCACCACCAGCTTATTGGTGTGAGCTGGATGCTGAGTCGTGAGTTTCACCCAGCTGCCCCGACAGGCGGAATCCTCGCCGATGAGATGGGGCTGGGGAAGACGGTCCAGCTCCTAGCCTGCATGTCTCAGAATATGCCCGGGAAGAAGTCTAAGGCATCGAAGACTCTCATCATCACCCCCAAGAGGCTAATAACGCAGTGGTGTGATGAAATCAACGCTCACTGCTCGCATAGAAGAATGAAGCGTGTTTATATTTATGCTGCCAGTGCACCCATGATGAAAGTACAATGGGAGGAGGCTGGCATAGTGTAAGTGCCTCTCATCATGTACATGTCTTGTGTGGTTGTACCTCATCACAAGTGTTTGAACCTCTCCCGGTTTGGCTGCGCTGACTTTCCTCGTCATAGCATAACAAACTACAGCCAGCTCCAACGCCAGCTACCTTCCCCTGACGAGCTGGAATACATCGAGAAGCTAAAAAGTAAAGGAAACGCAAAGTGGAAAGGCCACTTGCGTCGATATAGCAGAGGCGTGCTATTTCAAACTGACTGGCACCGTGTTGTCTTGGAGGAGGCCCATGCGATAAACAACAGGGCTAGTCAGAGTAAGTGACAACATTCAATGGTTCAGGAACCTAGAAATAACACTGTGCAGCCTCGAGAGCGTGCAAGCTTCTTCTTAGGAAATACAGCTGGGTTCTGAGCGGAACTCCGCTGACGAACGATACGGATGGTGGGTGTCCTTATCCATTTTAAGACCGCCAATAGCACCTTTTGTCCCTCCAGAGCCATGTTAACCAAACTAAAAACAGAGTTCTTCCCGTATTTGGATTTTATTAGGTCCAAGTACAGCAATTTCAGGGGTTACCATGACGCCATGGGTGATATCACGAATGTGAGGCTCCTACCGCGTGGCAACCATTGGTTGCCTAGCGCTGATTGTGGATGGGATGAGCAGAGACAGAGACTGAGAGAGTTATACCAAGAGATATCTCTGAGGAGGTGAGTGTTATGACAAACCGGCATTTACAGTTTAAGGAGACCCCTAGGCACTTGAGCTGACCACCAAGTGTAGGCGTGTCCAGGACAAATTAATAGGTCAGCCGATACTCCAGATCCCCGAGACCCGCCCAACGGAGCTCATGATGGTCGAATTCTCTCCGACCGAAAGCGACTCATACCATCGCGCCAATGAGAAGCTCCATCAGCTCCGAGAGCAAGCGGGGAACCGCAAAGCCGGCGGCGGATTCGTAACAATCCCCAACGGCGAGCTGAGAAAGTGGTACAACTATCTGAGGTGTTTTACCTCATATCCTGCCCTGGTCGAGCCGACATACATCAACCAACAGGCCCTACAGCCCCACGCGCCGGGAATCACTGGCGTGGAAGAAAGTGCCGCTGGACAAGAGTCTCACTACTTCTGTAGGGCGTGCTGCAATGCGCTGATCGAGCCCCTGATCGGAAATGTAAGAGCGATTTGTGACCCCCTTTGTCCACATTCCGCCCCTATACCCCCCAACACCAACTCAACAAGTTTGTCTATTTGAAGTTGGTGCTGACAGACCATAGTGCGGCCATGCTTTTTGTAAGGCCTGCGTCAAAAAGTCTCAGATAGGATCGAAGCAGGGCCGTCATTGTCTGAGCTGCGGCAAAGCTCCAGGCCCCGTCGTGTCCGAGGCTGCAAGGAATACTACCGTCATACTAATGATTACTTTGAGGATTTGAAACGCAAATTTCAGATTTAACTTTCTTTATCTACCAAAGACAAGCGAACGAAAAGAATGCGGAAACCTGGTGACGACGAGTTTGGATCGCAGCCACGCTTAGGCCCCCGGGGAAGGCCGGGAAGGGGAGAGGGAAAGGCGGAAAGACCACGAAAGGGAAAAAAGGCAAAGGCCGACGGGCAAGGAAAAAGAAGGACGACATCGAGCGAATACGCAACAATGCTGGCGGCTTTCTACGAGAATGTGATAAAAGGCCCTGGGACCCCATCCCCACAGCGCGAAGACGAGAGCCACAATGGCCCCGGTCAATAAGTGGTAGGCTCGCACCCATGTCCCCTTCCACACGTGTCATGTATTTGAAAAAAATGGCTAATTTGGCTTCATTGTAGGCAACAGGAAGCCCCTGACGACAAGATCATTAGTAAGCCGCCGTTACCACTGCCCCGAGCGAACCTAGAGCTAATGCGATATTACAGTATTCATCCAATGGATCCCAATGCTGTAATTCCTCGGTAGGATGCTCTTCCAGAGCGGCATCAAGTTCGTTTACTTCTGGGGGGAAATGGACTCAAACGACCAAGAGGTGTGTATCAGGGCTTTCTAGCAGGTTCCTGAAATCAAAGTCATGGTTAGTGCCAGTTTTGCAAAACGTCAAGATTTCACAACTGACATGCCCCTAGCTTAAATTATATCCGTCAGCTGTGGTGCCCATGGCTTGAACCTGACCGCTGCCAACCGGGCCATTGTCTTCGACCACTGGTGGCACGAGGGCTTAGAATGTCAGGCCTTCGCGCGCATCCATCGGATTGGCCAAACAAAAACAGTTCACACTATAAAATTAGTTGCCGCGGGATCGATGGACGAGACCATACTAGGGATGCAAGCGAGGAAGCGGGAGACCATCGGGTTGGCCGTGGGGGATGGTACCGCGCGCCCGACGCACGTCGAGGATGGGGCCATCGACCAGGAGATGCTCGACCTGACTAGGTTGGACGACATTGACGAAGAGAGCGAGGTAGATGGAGGGAGCGATGATGACAGCAGTAGCGACACCGACGCCGACAGCGCGGATAACTTGAGTGGCGATGAGGGCGAGGATGAAGACGACAGCGATTACGAGGGAGCTTCCGACACAGATGCTGCCATTTTGAGCTTCGGCGGGCTTAAAACCCGATCTGGCACATCTGGAGAAGCGCAGTATGAGGAGAGCGAGGACGACATGGACCTGGGGGATAAGTGAGAGCATCCCAGCAGCGGCAGGGCGTCGCCACGGCACACAGGTGATGCCTGACTTTGTGTGCGGGTTGGTGGAATACGCAATTTTCGCGACGTGGGGGTAACACCGACGTGGTTTGGAGGAACTGGGAGCTTTGTGGGCATGCTGATGGATCGCGGGGCGGCCTGCGGCGAGAAAAAGGGATCCTAGGTTGCCAATACGCGCTGGTTTTTGACTCCCCCTTGATACATGGGAAGGTGCTAAGCTAGATACTTGCTAAACCAAGCCAATTTGAGTTATAATGCTCCAATTCACTGGCGATTTAATCGGAATCGAGGAGGTCCGGCCCAACCGGAGGTCCGGGGCGCAACAAGCGGACACTTAGGTGTCCGACCGAATTGCATGGCAGGTGGGAGCTAGGGAGTCCCTCCGAAGGCGACCTTTCTCCAAGAGCATCAACTGTTCAAATATCACAAAAAAACGCAAAAGTCTAACACCCATCAGCCTACCTCGTATCCCAACATGCCTTCACCCACCTCCCTTCTCTCGGAGCTCGCAGAGGAGATATCCCGCAACACATCAATAATCGTCGAACGCCTCAAGTCTGGCGGCCTTCCCCAGCCATCCTTCGACGCAGATGGCCCTTCCCATCCCATACCCGAAGCAGATGAGGAACTATCGGCAGCAAGGCACGCACTGATAGAGGCATCAAAGGCGCTCCATACATTGGCCGTTGGACCAAGCGAAACTACTCGCCTTTTCTACTTCAAGGATATCTATTTTGTTGGCGCAATGCAGGTCCTTTGCCACTTCAATGTGCCGCAGCAGGTCCCCATATCTGGCGAGATTGGCATCCATGAACTATCGGTCAAGACGGGACTCGACAGGGGGTTGCTGGTGCGGTTTTTGCGGATAGCAGCCGCAAATTACTACTTTACTGAACCCCGGCGGGGGTTTTTTGCCCACACGGCCTGGTCCAAAACTTTGGCCATTGATCCGAAGATGAGGGCATGTGTGTGGTTTCGGCACTCCGAAATGATGCCTTCTGTGGCCAAACTTGTTGAAGCAGTAGAAATGCACACGGGTTCGGCCGAGGCTGCCGAGCCCCGGAACGCAGCTTTCAGTTTGGCATTCGGAGATTCTTTCTTCGATTATAAGGAAAAGCACCCGGACCATATGATTAAGTTTGGTCACTTTGTGGATGCCTTCGCCGGCGGTATCGAAGCTGATACAGCTGAGTCTATTGCTCGCGCTTACGCATGGGAGACGCTGCCGGCAAACTCACTCGTTGTTGACGTTGGCGGTGGTATAGGGCATATTTCCACGGCCGTTGCGCAGAAACACGCCCACCTGAGCTTCCAGGTTCAGGATTTCGGCGATTTGGTCGAAGAATCCGGCACACTCCAACAATCAGCGGGTGTATCTGACCGAGTCCATTTCTGCCCACACAGCTTTTTCGAACCGCAGCCCGAAACATGCAGAAAGGCGGCTGTTTACTTCCTCCGAAACATCATGCACAATTGGCCCGACCTGTACTGCCGACGGATACTCGAACCGATTGTCGAGGCCATGGGACCGGATAGCCGCCTCCTTATTTGCGACATTGTTTTACCGGAACCCAACACGATGCCCAAGACACAGGAGGCCCAAGTTCGTGCATTGGACATAGTCATGTTGTCCATGTTCAATGCTCAGGAGCGATCATACGAAGACTGGCAGGAATTGCTTACTAGCGTCGATTCCAGGCTTAGGATCACGGCGGTGGTTGGGAGGCCAAAGCTGGGGATAGACAACCTCATCGAAGCACGGTTGATGTAGCGAAGCTTACTGCTACGGGGTGTGGCTCAAGGCGACGGAACTAGACGGAGATATGAATAAGGAACGCTATGGGAACGACTTAAATTACCGTTATCATCCAAACTAGTAACTACGTGGAGTGTGGGTACATGTATAATTGCGTGGTGCGGTGATAGTCTGTATGGCTCGTGGACTTCTCAGTTGCGATACGTCCCACCATACCATTGCTCAAAACGTCCCAGATTTGAAATTCTTCAGTCTTCACTTGATTTCTAGGGCTTCCTTCTCACTTTCGTCGAGCAAACCTAGGGCTTGTCGGCGGGTCGGGGCGTTGGAATCAAAATAGGGGACTTCGGCAAGGGATGTGACGCGAGTGCCATGGCGGGGGTGTCTCCCGCCATAGTCCCAGCTTGCGTTGTGGATGGTAATTCTGTCGCCGTTAGTTCCCGCTTATGGAAACGGCTAGAGAGTGGCACACGAAATCCTCACATGAGGTGCTTTTCTTACCTGTTGTCCCATAGCGCACTCGTGCCCGGCGTCCACTTGAATCGCACTTGTATGTCAACGCTTCTCTCAAAAACATCGTACAGGTAGTTCAGAATCAGGTCGCTCTCGGCCTTGTCTAACCCAACGATCCGTACCGTCATGGCCCGGTTGACCCAGAGGGCTTTCCAGCCCGTGGCTGGATGGACACGGACTAATGGATGAGTGCGCTCGATGTGCTTGGGGCCGGCAGTTGGGTTTTCGCGGTCCAGGTATGAGTGAGCTGAGCGATAAACGGCCTGCTTCCCGTCGATTAATTTGCGAAACTCGGGCGAGAGCTTTTCATACGCGCCGTAACCAGACGCCCAAAGAGTGTCACCTCCCACTGGTGGCACCGTGTCATTGTGTAAGTGCGTGACCCCTGCGGGCTGCCGCTCGTGCACGAGGTCGGTGTGCCACGATGAAGCGCCACCTGGCTTGCGGAAGCTGGCTGCGTTGTCCTGGGCAAACAGATCCGGCCATATGACAGTGACACCGGCAACGCCAGGAACCTGGGGCACTTGAGGCTAGGTACGTAACACATCAGATTATGTACCGAGTTGCAGCCGCAACCGGCCACGATATTTCTCATTGTACTCACATGAATCTCGACTTCTCCGAACCACTCCCCGAGCTCTTTCTGCTGTTGTGGGGTGATGTCCTGATTTCGGAAGAATACCACGCTCCTCTCCGCGATTAATAACGCTAGCTCATCCCGTTGCTCAGGGGTAAGGTCTTTGAGCTGGAGTCCCTCGATTTCCGTTCCGATGTGGGTAGTCAAATCTGTAACTTTTGTCGCAGCGGAGAACAAGCGCGTCTTCTGCTTGTCAGCCCTTGCCCCAGCATCCTCATACGGCCGTTCGTCGTCCCGAATCTTGTATACATCTTGCAGATACAGAGGGGCAGCTGGTCGATATGGGTAACCCTCGGACAAATTAATCCCGGCCTTCGTCAGCCGTTGACGTGCCAACTCTGGGAGGTCGAGAGTGTCCTTTTTGGGTTGAACTGTGTCCACAATGGACTCGAAAATAGGCGCCGGCGCCATTGGGTTGGATTGCGTATGGGGGCGTGCTAAGTGAAATTGCCAACGGCGCCCGTTCTTCGTGTGTTTGGTATAGATTTTCTAGGGCTAGCGGTCTCACCCTTATGTCAAAGATTTCATCCTTTTAGTTCATTTCCGCTGTCATTTGCCACGGGGAGTATCTCGGAGTTAGCTGGTGATTATAAAGCATTTGGCCATCAGGAACAGGATAACCATGCAGATATCGATGGTCTAATACGCACCCCATATTGCGAAACAAGCTCACCTCGCGGGGTAAAGTACCCAATCGATACTCATGAAGGGATGCCTACCCGGTGATATGCCCCCACACTCTAAGTCGTGGCCTTGGGTAAAATCCATGGGTCGGGCTACTTGTCTATCTATCATCGTGCTGTTGCCGGGTTCATTTTATTGAAGCGTTGTACGGCAAGTCGGTAACGGGCATGGCCAATCGTTGATCCTTGGGTTGCCGAGCGAATGATCGGATGAAGGTATGTCAGTGGCCCCATCGGGGGGCATTGTCGCGTCATGGTCATCACTACATACCTGAGTATACGTGGCTCGAGCGTGGTCATGATGACCTACCATCCCGTTGGTCACATGGCGTTCACCTGCGCTGGCGCCATTTTTATTCCGCTGTAAAGTAAACAAAATTCCCATGCCTCTCACGCACCATTCCCGTTCCCGAAGCAAACCAGAAAGGTCTTTTTTTCAGCCTCAACCTCGAGCCAACTTCGACCATGTCCTCACCCATACCTGTTAACCACATACGTCATGCCTTTGGCCCGGGCAAGACCGTGGCCGTCATAGGCGCCGGGATTAGTGGTGTGTGCACCGCCGCACATCTATTGAAGCAAGGACTCCGCGTAGCAGTGTTTGAGCGCTCGGGAATCGCGGGCGGCGTCTGGCACTACGATGGGCATATTTCGGAAGACCCGCCATACCCTAATAGCATGCCCTCGCGAGGGGATTATCAAGTATCACAACCGGGGGAATTTGCATACGCCACACCTCCGCCGGAACACTATGCCGAGGTTGCCGACGGTATAGGCAGCCAAAATAGCCACGCTGTCGCCGACCTGGAGGTGCATTTCTCACCACCCGGGCCATGCTACGCAGGCCTGAAGAATAACGTTCCGACAAACCTCATGACCAGCGCTCTGGGCTCGTGGCCGGAAGGAACTGAGCCCTTCGTTAACCAAAGATACCTTGAGGAGTATATCCAAACGCTGGCGAAGGACCACGGCGTGGACGAGGTCACATCATTCCACACTCGAGTGGATGAGGTGCGAAGAACGGCTGACGGGTCCAAGTGGGAACTACGCTTAGTCGCGCTAGAAAAGGGGGGCACAGGCCCCCGACTTACCGAGAAAACCTCGCATTTCGACCTAGTTGTGGTTGCATCGGGACACTACAACATGCCTCGAATTCCTGATACAGAAGGGCTTAAGGAGTGGAAATTAAGATATCCTTCTCAGATCACTCACTCTAAGCAATACCGATCCCCCGAGGCGCACCAGGGTCAGAACGTGCTGGTCGTCGGCGGTGGAGTATCCGCCCTGGATATATGCCGCGAGCTCGATGGTGTGGTCACCAACACTTACCAAAGCGTACGTGGTGGGAAGTTTGACCTACCCTCATCCATGTTACCAAAAAGCGTTGTTCGGGTCGCGGAGGTAGCCAGGTTTGAGTCCCGCATCGCTTCTGCCGGCGACGGGCAGGTTGACGCCAAGGGGGGAATACCCGGAGTCGTCGTATTGAAGGATGGAGTGGCCCTGGAGAATATTCACCACGTGGTGCTGGCAACAGGGTATATTACATCCTACCCCTTTCTCCCGCAGCTTCACTCGGATGATGCGCCCATTGCGGCGGCAGGTGAGGATCTCCTGGTGACCTCGGACGGCACCATGGCGCACAACCTCCACCGCGACATATTTTATATCAACGACCCCACGCTGGCATTTGTCGGCGTGCCCTATTACGTGGCAACATTTTCCTTGTTTGATTTTCAAGCGCAGGCCGTTGCTCGGGTATTCGCCGGCAAGGCCCGGTTGCCCGGGCGGGAAGAGATGCGGAAGGAGTATGAGAGGCGTGTGGAGGAGAAGGGACTCGGCCGGGGGTTCCACTCCCTCCATGGACCTGGTCTCGAGGTTGCCTACGTGCAAGAACTTGCGGACTGGGTAAACAGTACTGGCGCGGAAATCCCGGGGAGCCACCGATGCTGGCTCATTCGGAAGAGTGGAAGAAAGGATATGACGAGTTAAAGGCCAAGACGACGGCACTATTCAAATCAGGGAAAGAGAAGGACGGGTCAGGGGAGGGCTGAGGGTTTGTTGAGGTCAGCCACGGCTTCGGCTGCAATGACCGGGGTTAGGGTTAACGTTGACTTGTGGCAGGTTCAGGGTTCATTCGCTAGTAAATAAACAAACCAAGCACCCAACAACACAAAAAGGTGCTGTGACTGGAGACGACACGTTTGACCCGTTGACGCTTTTAGTAAGAAGATACTATTGAAGGCTAAAGTAGATGTTGACAAAGGCTTACTTACGTTTGAGGTATGTACCTGCAGGTGTTTGTGACGAGCGATTGTGACAAAGCCGTTTTGAGCCAACTCACCGAGTTCGCATGGCGCTTTGTTGTGGCGCCAATGCAAGACAAAGGTGAGAAAGCTCAAAACCTAGGCAATCTGCTTTGCAAACGACGCGCGAAGGATACCACACTCTTTTTGTCAAACGACCATAACCTACTGGACAACTCGCTGACGAAGCTGAAGGTCCCTACGTGGTGACAGCTCAATATAGACCTTTAAGATCAACCCTTACTAGCCAGACACATACCACCACAAAACAAGATATACGAGCCGATCAGAATGGCGGGAGACCACGACGAGCCCGAGGTCCTAGCACACGAGCCCATGCCTAAAGGTTATAGATTTGTTCCCAAAGGCAACGTCTACATCACCAAGAACTGCCGCAAGAAGACGCACGAAGCAGAGCGGACTCTTTATGTTGTTGTCAACAGGAAAGGGAAACCAATGGGCCTACGATGCCCCGCCCATATCCACAATGCCGTTATGAGCGAGAACAAGGCGACTGCGGCGCAGCGAGCTGAGGCAGTCCAGAAGCGGGATGCAGCCATCGAGGATAATTTTGAGGAGGCCATAGTGAAGCTCTTTCCCAAGATTCCCAAGTCCGAGGTCCCGCAAATCCTCAAACACACGCTCAAAAAGCACAGCCGGCGTGTGGGGAGGACCGGGACGGTGGCCCTGCAAGACAGGGTGAAGCTCGCGGTGCGCGCACACATCCGACACGTCCACACCGAATATGACGGGTTGCTTAAGCACGGCGCGAGCAGGCCGGTCGCAAGGGAGAAGATATGGGACAGGCTGAACGAGGTTGCTAGGCAGTGGGGCGGGCGGTCGCTCAAACGAGCCGTGACAGGGTCTGCCAAAACTAAGCTGGTAAAAAAGTCCGGGAAGAAAACGATGGCCAATGTTGAAGCTAAAAAGGCTGCCGTTGACACAACTCGTATGAAGGGTCGCCGAAAGGGTTCAGAGGTGCTGGATCTGTCACCGCTGCCATCTGTTCCTATAGCTCTATCAGTGGAGGGGTTGGATGTAGATACGAGGGACGCTATCTTCACTACAGACGAAGAAACAAGCGACCTTGAGAGTGACGGTAGTGAATGGAGTTTATAAGATCTTACTAGGAAGGTAGTAGTAGGAATGGCCATTTTTAGCATTTACATTATGGCCTCAAGGTCCCTCATCAGGTAGGAGGTAAGGGAACCATGTATTCTAGGGATACCGAGTATAGAAGAGAGAACCAAAGAGCAGACGCTTAGTTTATATTATTAACATTGGGATATAAAAGCAAAAGCTCGCCGGCTAGCCCCTTTCGTGGACGAAGGGAGGTAGCCGGTTACGAAACCCCCTTAGGGGGTTTTACTTCGTGTGCCCAGTTGCAGCCTGGTGGTGCCCCGTCGGGCGACTGCTAATTTCTTTTGAAGTGGAGGACTCTACCGGCGTCCCGGTACCTCCCAGAAAAACCCCGGGCTAGCATCGTGATTCGAACCTTACCCTTCCCTTAAGTCCGGTAGTGACGAGGGGCGAACCAGATGGCCCGTGGGCCGAGGGCCACCGCTTAACCGCTGAGCTACTTAGTTAGGTGGTGGTCCTCGTTGGAAGTCGGCTACGCGCACCCTGCCTATATTGTACGGGTGGTTCGATGGGCTGCTATGGCCGAGTTGTTAACCCCTGTTATTTCTTTCTTCCGAAAAAGAAACGGAAAAACAAATAGAAACTGTGTTCATGTTCCGCTATCCGTGACAATGACCGATTCGAGCAACGCTTTTTCAGGAAATAGCCGTCGCATTTTCCACATTCCGATATGTTTCTATATATATCGGTCCAGGTTCATTGAGATTTTCCCGTTAGGTGTAACGGAGCCGGTTGGAAAAAAGCAAAATGAGGCCCGGTACCGACGGCTTCGGCCTGCACCGGCTGCACCTCCCCATCCGCACATCCCCAACCAGCTCCGGATCTAGAACGTGCAGGAGTATCCTGTCAGCGATCGGCTGGTGGAAAGCCCACCCTATTCGATGAATGCATAAGAGGATTAAATCCTTGGGCTTCCTTCCATTCGCACCCCGCAAAGAACAACCTCCTCACAGCATCCAAAACAAGAACCCGACTATCGCTCAGGCAGTTGAACATCATGGCTAGCGAGAAGAAACTACAAATCACGTTCGAGGGTTCGTTGTACTTTTTGGATATACAGCCCAGTTGACTGACGGGACGAGCAGATTACCTCGGTGTCACCGAGGCAGCGTTCGAATGGGCGGACAGTTATGACTCCAAGGATTGGGACCGATTGAGGAAGTGCATCGCACCCACACTCCGGGTACGTGAAAGACAACGGGAGGGCCGGGAAGGTTTCAAGATGGTTCAACTAGCAATGCTGACTTACCAACAGGTTGACTACCGCTCGTTCCTCAACAAGTTGTGGGAGGCGATGCCGGCTGAGGAGTTCATCGCCATGATCTCTGACAAGTCGGTGTTGGGAAACCCCCTGCTTCGAACCCAACACTTCATCGGCGGCGCGAGCAAGTGGGAGAAGCTGTCGGACACGGAGATTATCGGGTACCATCAACTGCGAGTGCCACACCAGGTCTACACGGATGCGAGCCTGCAGAACGTCGAAGTCAAAGGCCACGCTCACGGCTTCAACACACACTACTACAACAAGGTCGGCGGAGTGTGGAAGTTTGCTGGCTTGAGCCCCACCATCAGGTGGTCTGAGTACGACTTCGACAAGGTGTTTGCCAGCGGCCGCGACAATTTTGGCGAGTCCAAGTAGACTGACTGGTGGCGCCGTTGTGTCGGGTGTGTTGGTCAATATGATACAAGCCGGTTGGCGTGCGGAGTAGCCAAGCGGGCCGGCGGGCGAGGGTTTAGCCTGAAACAAATGCTTAGTTATTTCGAAAGACAAAAAGTCGTCTTCGCTCATCTGTGAGTAGTGTGTGCTTCAGGCAGCGGTTGGGTGCGCTGAGAGAGAAATGGCTTGCTGTGCTTGGCTTTGCTTGGCAACCGTGGTGATTGGTTAAATGGGGGATAGCGGGGTCCTAAATGCTTGATTGGACGTCGCAATTGCAAGGGACAGCTCCCGTCGTCTTTTGGTTGTTTGAAATACAACAGCTACATATTTCGATTCAAAGGCGGCGCCCCAAAGCTCGATTCCGAACCCCCGGCTCCCAATGGTACGCCAAAGGTGACACTACGCGCTAAACCTGCCGGCACGCAGGCTGCAGAGAAGATGCGCGAGTTTATGCACTATGTCACCAATGCCTTTTACGGGGCGACTGGTTGGAACGACGACAACACCTACAAGGAGCTTAATGTCACGGCGAGAGGCAAGACTTGTCCCCTTCCCGTTCTATAGTTGACCCATAGCTGACAGTGACAAACAGAGCTCATCGACTTCCCCCTCCCTCGGGGGCTCCGTCTGACCCTGTCATCCCTCGCAACCCCCCACTTTGCGACCAGCTACCAACTTGGCAGTGTCGGCATCGTTGATGGCTCCATTTCGTACCTCCACAGCTCGGTCCCCTTGACCGGCATCGCCGCCCGATCGGACCGAATACCGCTACCGGCGCTCCTGCGATCCTACCGCCGACTGCACGATCTCGGCTCGAAAGACCAACAACAGTACGTGGGGGCGGAACATGCGCCGACGGAGTCAACGCCCCCGGCCGTCGCCAAAGTTGACGGGAGTTCCCTCCTGTACGGCCGCCTATACTTGCCGCAGTCGCTGCTCGAGGGGATGGTTGTCCGGCGCTTCACTCCAGCTCTGCAGGTTCAGCTTTCGGCTGTCAGCGAGCGTTCACTGAGAAATGGCGGCACCTTGCTCGGGCTGGTTCAGTATGACAAGAGGAAATACGGTGTTGAGGGCCTCGCCTCGACCGACGGTGGACTCCTCGGTGTTCGGGGTCTGTATAATTTTGGGGGTGATGCGTCTTCCTCGGCTATGAACCCGCCCTCCGGTACATCGGCTTCCGAGACTAATGGAAGTGGCCCTTCGGTGGAGAAAGAGAGGATTTATGGCCGTTTCAGTGCGGGCGCCGAATTGTATTATGGGACCCTGAACAAATCCGGAGGCATGTCGCTGGGCGCGCGCTTTGCTACCCTGCCAGCACACCGAGGGACGCCGCTGACGGCAACGTTGACCATCAATCCCCTAATGGGGAACATCAATGCTACTTACGCCGTACTCGCAAGGGAGTACTGTTCGTTGGCTACGAAGATGGAGTTTAACGTTTATAGCTACGAGAGTGAGTGGGCCGTGGGGGTAGAACTGTGGAGCAACCGAAGGCCAGCTGGCTTTCTCCTCGGTGCTAACCCCAATGACCAAGCTGAGCCCGCACCGGAGCCACCCAGAAAGAGCAACGAGAGGAGTTTCCAGGCAAAGATGGAATGGCGGCTGGACGACCCTGAACCAGAGCCCCAGAGCCCCGTGGCCGGCGAGAAATCTGCAGATGACGGACCCAAGGAGGAGTACAAGGGGGTTCTGAAGGCGCGGTTCGACCAGAATTTCCGGTTCGGCCTGCTTTGGGAGGGTCGAGTCAAGTCGCTTATTTTTAGCCTTGGCACTGGGGTAGATATGCGAAGGTTGGGCGAGCCATTCAGAAGCTTGGGGCTCGAAATCCAATATTCCTCATGATGCTGTGGCCCCGCCGCGTTGCCTCAGTAGCGTGCCTATGGTGGCATTCCCTTCTCCGGCCGTCCTCAGGGAAGAGCGAGTCGGAGAGAGCTCGGGGCTGCCGTTGTGGATATCTTTTGCGACGCAGAAGAGCGCGGTGTGCGGTAGGCGCTCGAGCAGCCTGGTCTGAAAATCCGGAAATGGTCCGGGGAAATCTCAAATCAAGGTCGTCTGCCTGGCTATTCCCGAGCTACTAGGGTTATCTAGGGCCGGAGGGAGAAGGGGGGTGGAGGGGCGGCTGAAAGTCGCAGAGGTCTGACTGAGAACCTTGATGGCCACGCGCCGTGGAGTCGTTTGCGCACCTTAGTCAGGAAGTTGGGGCCACTTAGTCCACCACACATGGCGCAAAATTGGGAAACTGTGCTTTCAATGTTTAGTTTGGCAGTTGGTATTTTGTATTTCGTGTTGGCGGCACAGCTGGAGATAACGGCCGTCTCAACCCCTGTACGCTCCTTTGGAAAGAAAACCGCAGCAGCCGTCAAGGTTCTTAGACCACCTTGGGACTTGTGTTTCCAAGGCGCCTACGAATACCTTTCTGAACTCTTTACCCCGTATTCCCTCGTGTCAAATTCTCCAACAAACATTTCGTCGACGGCTTGTGCGTAAGACAACACGGTTTATTCCTTCCCAAATAGGGGATTGGAACCGAAAGTCCCACAGCCCGCCTTCCGTGAGTATTGCGGACCATGTTGAGTGCTTCTGGTGTGTGTGCTGATGCAAGCCCCGGCCATCAAGGTTCTCGCAACTCGACTCCAACAAATCCCTCGCTTTACCCTAGGTACCATATCCTATCAGTCAATCTTTTCCTCTGTCATCGTCAAACCGTCCACTTTATCTACCGGAGCTCTGCCTTTGGCCAAGACTTTGAGAACCACCCTGTGTGTGGTTTCGCAACAAGACCGCTACCCCCTGAAACGTCCTCGACTCTTCTTTGTGATCGGCATCTCTCCGCCGTTATAGATTTAATCAAGGTACGTCTCAAACGTGAAACTGCATCCCGGCCTCTGGTTCGGTATATTTGGGTATACAGTAGTAGCATAACTAACCATTGAGCTCAGTGAGACACTATTCAAGATGCATCGGCACATATACCGCCAGATATTGGTTAGCCGTGAAGACGGCGATGCCGCCGCTGCTGTTCCTGAGTGCGAGATTTCTCCTTCAAGCACGGATTACTGGGGCCTGCGGATTGCATCCATCTTCGTCATTCTCATCGGCTCGGCGCTCGGCGCCCTCCTACCTGTCTTCCTTGCCAGAACCTCGAGGATGCAGGTGCCCAAGCTGTGCTTCTTCATCGCCAAGTACTTTGGTACTGGCGTGATTCTGGCCACAGCCTGGATGCACCTTCTCTCCCCTGCGTCTGATAATCTTCGCGATGAATGCCTCGCAAACATTTTGCCCGACTACGATTGGGCCATGGCTATCGGCTTGATGACGGTCATGGTCATGTTTCTCTTGGAGCTTATTGTCTCACGCTTTGACTTCGGCTTTGGTTCCGCCCACGATCACAGTAATGAGAAGAGCCTAGAGACCAAAGACCAAAACCAGGCTGTTATACGGCACTCGCAGGATGCCGAGGCCATTGGCTCAAACAAGTCGGCCGATACATCCACCGTCGCTGGGAGCACTTCTGGGGGTGGTTTTTTTGACAAAAGTAGAGTCCCCGGCTTGCGCAACGACATCAGCTACCCGCCCGGCGGAGAGGACCACCTGGGTCACCAGCGAGACCATGTCCAAGGCGACGAGCATGCCAACTACGCCGCGCAGATCACAGCGATCTTTGTCCTTGAGTTCGGCGTCATCTTCCACTCCATCTTCATTGGCCTCACCCTCGCCGTCACCGACAACTTCATAATCCTCTTCGTTGTCTTGATCTTCCACCAGACCTTCGAGGGACTCGGGCTGGGCGCGCGTCTTGGCATGGCGACCTGGCCTCCTGGCGCGCGCCGATGGACTCCGTATGCCCTCGGCCTGCTGTATGCTGTCAGCACGCCGTTTGCCATCGGGATGGGGCTCATCGCGACCAAGTCACTTGCTCTGGAGGCTGCCACAAGCAGGGTCGTGAATGGCGTCTTCGATGCCATCAGCGGCGGCATCCTCATGTACACCGCGCTTGTTGAGTTGGTCGCGCATGAATTCATGTTCAACCCAGAGATGCGGAAAGCGGGACTGGGCATGCAGCTTTCTGCGTACATGTGCGTTGCCTTGGGGGTTGGGCTGATGGCGCTTCTGGCGAAGTGGGCCTGAACAGGTTCGGGGTGTGTCTATACAGTATGCGGGTAGGCATGCGTGTGGTCTCGGGACCGGAACCTCCGCGGACTATGGCCCGTTCGATTTGCAGATTAACCGTGGATGTAATATGGGGAGGGCATCGGCGCCATGGGTATACGGCATTGTTTCCGAAGCGGCTGAGAAGTGGCCGTGAGGGAGGGGGACGCGGATGCCTTGACATGGAGGCAGGGAGAGCCTCTTTCGTGGTGGTTTCTTGATACCCACAGCAGCGGCTGTTGTCGGCGGATTTAGTTGTTTTAATTCTTGTAGTTCTGCAATTGCGTTCTTAACTAGCCATACAGAGCGGTTTAATCGCAATGTGCCGGTTCAAACGAACGCCCACGTGTTGTGGTGGCTTTTGTGAAGAAGACTAAGCTAGAGCAAACGTGGTTCGAAGGTCGAAGTCATATATAACGCACGGCTGGCGGCCACTTCGCCATTCCGCTGGCGTGCCTCTTCCTCAAAACCCTCCAGCCAGAGAACGAGGACTCGTAATGCTGAGTGTGGTTTACAATCGTCGGCGAACCCATAGCCTGCTCCAGCACAGCTGTTTCGGCCGCCACTCGCCGCACCAGGCGAGGACCCAGAGAAAAGAAAAGACAAAAAGGAAGGAAATAGGAAGGCCCATCCCATGCCGTAGTAAAAAAACATTCATTGTATAAACGCCACGCGTAGACAATTTGTCGTTTGCTTTGAAACGCTTCAAGAATCCCTGTTGTGCGGGAGACAACCTCAAGTATGGAGCGGGCCTATATGGTAAGCGCCTCCTTTCCGGTATTTTGCCACTGACAAGTCCCAGTTCTCCCTTTAGCCAGGACGTAGCTTGTTCGCGAGGAGTAGCTGGCTGCCTCAGAGCGGGGTCGCCGTGTTGACTCCGATGCGAGAACGAGGGAAGGGAGACGCGGCACTGGTAGCATATTATGCCTTGCCGGCCCTCCGGCGTTGGTGGTGTTCCACAGCTCGCGCGAACGAACTTCTGGCGCGGGTTCTTTCAAGCTTACACACCCTGGTCCTTGATCTATCCCTTGTAGCAGCTACTTTGGCGTTCTTGCCACCACTGGAAGGCCTCTGTAGCTTACGCTGGCGGCTTGCTTCCTTCGGCGCCTGGGTAGCAGCAACAGGCGGCTTATATGCGAACCGTCCGAGGTCGAGAGTACCCGAGACGTTAGGAATCCGAATGTACTCTGCCCGCGCCCGGGAGCTCATTTTGGGAATCTGTATCTCAACGCACCGGCCTGGGTCTGACGTGGCAAAGAAGCCGGAGCGACCTGCGATTGTTGAGATCGGCTCACGTAACTCAGGAGTGCTTTCGGGTTTTGGACTTGGTATCGAACGCCTCCCAACTGGTCGACGCACTACTGGCTTTGCGTATGTTAAACCAGTTTTTTCATTGACAAAATCTCTCCAGGCCTGAAAGAAGGTCAGAAGATAGAGATAATTCAGGAATACGACGAGACTTACCCGCGGTGCCCTGGACGCCGCCGGCAAACCGTTGGTTCACTTTATCATCTTCCCTTGGAGGGGGGAGACCGGCATCTTCGGGGTTAGGATTGTGACCCGGCACGGCGGCGTCCTCTTAGAGCTCCTGGGCTCTAATTCCCCGTCTTTATCGCACCTTTCGGGGTCAGATTGGGTGTCCCGTGCCTGTTCTGCTCCGAATCTGCGCTTGCATCGAGCACACGCGCAGGTCCGGCAGCCAATATCATCTTGACGGTTCTTCTTGGTCAAGAAAGGGCGTGTTTCCACATAAATACTGATTCCTGTCACCTGTTCTATCTTTTGCAAGAAACCCCAACACTAGTGCCAAAGGAATGTTAGTTCAGGGGAAAAATCAAGGCAGCCTGGGACAGCACCCACATTCTCGCAGGCCGTATGATCGAGGAATATCCAGGCTTCCCTTCACGGCTCGGGGATAGCCATGCTTCGTAGCTCGTGAACTCTCTTAAGGTCGGTAGAGTCGAGTACCGCTTTGAGAACAGCGATTCCCCAGAATATGGCCAATTTCTTTTCCTGTTGTCTTATTCAGCACTTGAAGCGAGCGAGTGTGAGTGCTTAGGGCCGCACCGCATGCGACGTTACAAAACGTCCGCCGTGCTCCGGCCGCGGCTTTCCGTTATTGTCTCTTGGGGATCGAGTCAAGGTAAACTTCATAATACCAGCCATATCTCGCACGAGTTGCAAATACTTGCTGTTGTCGAGCACATCTTCCCCTCTCCCAGGGTTAGCCAACCATCCGCTGACGGCAGCCGTCTTGACAAAGGGGCACGTTGCGGATGCGATAAACCCCGTTGTCGCCCTTTCGAGGTTCTCCTTGGCAACATTGAAAGTTAGGTGCGGTCTCACGATATTGAGCTCTGCGCCCTCCTTGAAGAAAAGCGCCCGCGAGCACTCGTGCTTACCCATCCGGCGACTATATAAGAATTCGGCGTCACTAAGGGCATATTCAAGTGTCCGGGAGGAAATAGGCACATCTAATAGGTTGTGGAGGAACAAACCAGGACTCCAGCACGGCCGGGTATCGAAGTATTTTTGCGACTGCGACCCGTTTACCCCGTTGTTCGGGGCCTATCTCTGGGAAACCCAGCCGCTTGTAAGTGCCAAGTTTGGTCTTGAACAGGCCGACTTTAGAATAACTGACGGCTTGGTGGCCTCGGCGATCTCGGACATGGGGTGACGCCCCGTTTTGTAGCAGGAGCCGCGCAATCGTCAAACGGCCGGTGAGGACGGCAGTCATCAATGGCGTAGCGCCATCTACGTCGCCCACATCAAGGAGGCCCTTGTTGTTATGGTCTATGAGAATTCTGTGAACGCGGCTAGCCTCACCCAAGATGACTGCAACGTGCAGGTCTGTGAGGCCGTGGGCCGTGGGAATGTCGGTCCCGTTCATCTCGTCGACTTCGGGAAAGGAAAGCTGATGAGATTGGATCACAGTTAGTATCACTCGATAGTTGCCAGGTAAAAAGGAAAAGAACGCCGAAAGCAAGGAGAAGCAAGGAGAAAATAACACAGATTGCAAGAGGCACGATAATGATCGTGTATCATACCGCGTCAAATGGCATGAGGGGATGATGTAGTGGGTTATCCACCGAGATTTCGTGCTTTACTGGCCACTCGTAATATTGGGGGACAAACCCTCCAAAAGTAAGGTGTTAGAGAGGAGTATCGGTCTGCTAGCAGGATGAGCTGGAATCGGAAGTGAGAAAGGTGGTTTAAAGTCGGAAGGGAACTCAGGTCGGCGAGAGAGAGAGAGAGAGAGGGCGAGAGAGAGAGAGAGGGGGGAGAGAGGGAGGGCGAAGAAGAAGGCAAGAGCAGAGCGCGGTTTTTTCATCGAACAATGTTGAGCCCAGAGAAGCCCCATCTGGGTGTCCTAGCCTTTCTCTTTCGTTTAACCTTGCGTATTTGCACGTCTGAAAGGAGGTTTGGTGTGGATGGAATATCACGTTCCCGAGGTGAGGGCTGACATGTAGTGGAGGCAAACTGACTGGAGGTAAGCCAGGCCAGGCTCAAATGATCAAGCAAGCCAGCAATCCTTTTTATGACGCCTAAACCAGATGCTACCGGGAATCATGACCGAGACTAACCCACGCAGTGCCTTTGGCTCTGTGCCACCCAACGTACCTCCTGCTCCGGCGTAGGGGCGCGGAACGGTTCCATTTAAGAGGACGCATTTACTCCTCCTCCTCTTCCTCCTCCTCATCAGCCTCGGCGACAGTCTGCGCAATCCCTGTTTATCGTTGCGTTAGAACCATTTACTGGAGTGAGGCCCTGTATTGGGTAACTCACGATCAAGATCACGCTGCCCCTGCTGGGTGATGCGGCGGCCGCCCTTCTCCTCATCTTGCTCGAGGACCTGGATCTTCTCCAATGACTGCATGATCTTGCGGTCGACGCTGCCGCTGGCATCGACGTGCTTGGAGGGACGAGAGCCGCGGTTCTTAGCGGTACCGTGGACCCTGCGAAGACGGCCGACACCGACGGTCTTCCTCAGGTAGACATGGCGAGCGACGGAAGCGGCGCGGACGTAGTACCAGTCAATATCCTGGGGGGGCATCTCCTTGGCCGGGCCGGTCTTGACGGTATCGACCCAACCTATGTGAAGTCTATGTCAGACGCGGTTGCTCGGTCGGAGTATCGTTGTCGTGTGTACTAACCGGGCACGGGGAGCTTGCCCTGACGCTTCAAGAAAGCCGCGTAGGCCGCTGTTTAACGTTAGCTTTGTGCATAGACAAGCAAATGGAATTTGCAGCAGAACTTACCGACAAACTTGTGAGCCTTTGGGTCGGCAGCAACATGATTAGCAAAATTCCGTCTTCAGAGATCTTTCGACCCCCTCACGCCTGCTCCCTTAATCTTCCAGGTTGCTGCTGTGACGACCAGCGGTTCATCACGTCGGCCAGGACGAGCTCTGCCGGCGAGACTCGAGGCGGCCGGGACAGCGAAAGAATGTTCGGGTCCGGGTCGCAGAAGCCAATCATGGCGGAGAACTGCAAAAACTTACATCGACATCGCGAACAGTGGTACCTCCAGGCATTTTGGCGGTAGTTGAAAGGGATTTGGCGGAGATGATGGGTTTGGTCGTTCGTGATGGTGCGAGGAGTCGTCGGTGGAACAAGCCGCAACTGCAATTGAGGCCGTCTAGGGAAAATTTCGAGTGGGGAAAGGTCTTGGCAGTTACGAGGAACTTTTAGGGCTTTGGCCCTGGGGGCAGAGCTGCAAGCAACCCTAACCCTTATACATGACATCAAGCACATGCCTGGGTTGAAAGACTGACAAGCCTCAAGCAGGGGCCATCTTAAAGCCAGAGACAGTTTCATTGGTTGACACCGTATGTGCTGACTCCTTGTTCTGCCCGCCCCCCCTCAGTGGCTTAACTATGTAATGTACATGGTCGGCGGCCCGGTCTGTCTCGAGATTGGAGTATCACGATCAGTTGGAACAGAGGCTGAATACTGATCGACTCCATGAATTCCTGGGGCCAAAGGGTGCGATTCTTTTGGTGAAACCGAAGCTTCTTTAATTACCTGTTTTGGGGAAGCGGAGGTTCCCAAGCTTCGTTCTCGGGAAAACAAGGATGTTTGCAAGACATTGTTTCTGCGCCGGATGGGTGGGAATGGAAGATCTCTGGGAAATTGCGGAACGCGAGCCCATCGTGATCTCCGAATCGCGAAGTTCAACAATGCGGGAAAACGGCATGAACCGGGGAGGCCAAAGCAAAGAACGAACCCCTTGTCACGAATTGTCAAACATGAGACGACCAGGGCTCCTGTCATCATTGAGGGTCCCAAGCGTGGGTTGTGTAGCCTGGCTCAAGAGTCTTGGCACCCTCTCTGACAAGTCCTGTTTCAACATCCCGGCTTCTTTCCCCGCGACCACGCTTCTCGCCTGGTATGCAAGTTCCATGCTGGCGCCGAACGGGATAATCGCGATGTGCCACAGGGGTGTTGTCCTTTGACTGCCAACCAAACCACCGACCCCCCTGCCAGTTGAACCGCAGACATGCAACATGCCGCCTTGACCTAAGTTGTTTTCTTCGCGCCCTCGTGTTTCTCCATCACTCCATACCGCCTGCCATTGCCGGGGTATTTTCGAAGGGCCAAGTGATTGGCCCCGAGCCGCTCTATCCGGGCCTCTGGTTCGATCTGCACACTGGCTGCACGACTTCGGCACGAAACGGCCGTGTAAGTGAGCCTACACATCACGGAGGACATGAAACTCTAATTTGGGAGCTAGGGACTCACTTGATCCTGAGATGGGGATGTCACTGCAACATAGAATAGGCACACCAACCCCTCAGACCAGCGCTTAAAGTTCCTGGAGCATGAAGCTATCATGGGGATAAGTAGCCGCGACCGGCCGCCTCCCCTTGTTGTTGGCCCCTGCCACCGGTCTCTCATTCAGATGGTTGCCGCTGGTGTGCGATTTGTGAATAGCGTCATTCTTTTCTTTTCACTTTCTTTTCGCTTCTTGACCTGCTTGCTGGGCAGGCATTTATTCTTTTTTAGACCTTCAGTACCCTTTGACCACACATTCCCTTTCGTGCTTCTCATCCTACGCCATGTTCTCTACTCTACTTTCGCTGCTAGCCTTGGGTACCCTTGCTAGAGGGACACCTTTCCGTGTTCGAGCCGTTGATTCGTTAAACGAAGAAGCCACCGCGGAGGCTCATCAGCGCGATGATGGTGCTACACGCGCTTTCTCAGACGTTCAGATCAAGGTGCGAGTCCAACGGACGTGGCAGTTGAACCCAAATTAACCGACTGGGATTGTAGACATCAGACGGGAAATGCCTTTTCGTTGACAAGCTCTCTGGCGACTTCCGCGCCAACCTGACTCCAGTTCAAGTCGCCGATTGCGGGTCGACTGACGGCCAGGGCTGGGACGTTATCACAGCAGGAAAGCATGTCAAGGGTGACAATGTCATGCTCATTGTCAGCACCTTGACCCAAGCCTGTTTCAATTTTGATCCCCGCCGGCCTGCGGGTAACCAGGTTTTGCTCTTTTCGTGTGGCGGCCGGGCTGGTGGTGGTAAGGGGATCTTCCAGAGCGTTTTCGAGTTCAGCTCGCTAATGTCTTTCTAGAAGGAGAGGTGACAGACTCGCAACTTTTCGCCTTTGATGGCGGCGCTGGCCCTCTTTCTCTTCAGCCTCAGAATCAAGTGGGGTCTTGTCTCGTTGTCAAAGGCAAGGCTATTGACATCGTCGGGTGCAACGATGGTGATGACGGCCAAGCCTTCACTTTTGGTGATGCTGTAGGAGGAAACAACAACAACGGCGGCAACAACAACGGCGGCAATGGGGAGCAGTCGTCCTCGACCTGTACAAAGTCCACCCGGACAGTGACTGCTGCTCCAACCCAGACCGAAGGAAACATGGGAACCCAGACGACAACAGCTGCCCCTGAAGCAGGCGGTGGCGGCGGCGCGGCTGGGGATATTCCCACGGCAAACCCCACGGAGCCGGTACCAGTGTCCGGGGCTGGCGGTACCTTGCAGCCGACAGCGGCGGCGGAGTCACACCAACGAGACGAGACAGCCAAACGGGCTTTCAGCGGCGTGTCGATCCGCGCTCCAGATGGCCGGTGTCTTTTTATCGACCCGACAGCTGGTGACTTCCGGCAGAATTTGATCCCCGTGTCGCTGGTGGACTGTACTGGGTCCCCAAACGAAAAGTGGGATGTCATCACTGAGGGCAAGCACAACACGCCGAATGCTGATCGGCCTGCCGCTCTTATTGTGAGCGCATTGGTAGGTCATAGTCGGGCTGCGCGATGAGGGGAGAATGTGGCTAATTTCATATCTTCGTAGACCCAGGGCTGCATCAGCTTTGATGGGAGAAGGCGAGAAGGCGATACCGTCACTCTCTTCTCCTGCGGCGGCCGCGCCGATGGTGGTATGTATTTATTATTCACGAGACTGTTTGCGTATGTTATATTAACGGTCTTATAGATGGAGGAACCGATGGAAACCAGCTGATTCCATTCATCGGCCAGACCAGCTTTCCATTTGCTCCAGGGAACGAGAACGGCAAGACTTGTATCCTTCCTGGAACCGATCGGCTTGAGTCAGGACCGTGTCCCGATGATGGCTCCCAGTTATTTTCCATCTTTGAGTGAACGGAACTCGGCATTGATCCATGTTGTTGGACCACTTGTCCGACTGTGGTACCTGGTTTCAAGGGTTAAGGGGGGAAATGTGTTAGGTCATGGGGCAGCTCTTGGCTTTCCATCGTTGTATTGTATTCAATTCTCTGACGCCAGCGCCATACCGGGGGCCTTCCATTCTTGTAGGATTTCGTGGAGCATTCTTCGTACCTTACCCATATTGTTCTATCGGTCTCGTTCTATTTTGGTGAAACTGACTGTTCCTTGAACCTTGTGTTTATCAAAGACCGACCAACGGTTCCATGCGGGGGAAGCTTGCCCCGCTCTCGCCAGGGCCTCTGTTCAGGATCTCCGGGGCCTCGGAGCTGCTGACATCATGCCGAAATTTTACTTGCCGCAAAAACCGCTCGGCACACCTTTGAAAGGACGGAGCTGTCATCCGAACTCACCAGTGACGGAGGCACCGAAAAATCCGGCGGTGACGGACACCACCAATTTTGGCCCTCATATGCCGCGATTACGTTGCGCCAACGCGCCCTCGACGGCAACTCTTTTCATCCAGCTCAGCATGCGCCGGCAGGCCGTGTCGTGTGGGCTCCCGATCCTGGATGTCCTGCTACCGGTGTCTTCCCGGGCAGCCCGCGCCCCCTTCATCCGGGCCCATCACGTTGCGTCAACGGGAAGAATAACCGGCACGCATCGCCATGAACCATCCTCTACCGCAGTCTGTATACCAGGGAGAGGCGGAACACCACGCAGCACGCTACCGAAGGCCCGGGCAACCCCACTTCGCCTGCTCTCACGTCCTTTCAGCACCTCCTCCTCGTGGCGCGCAACTCATGCCATCTTCAATCCGCAAATCGATGACGATGGGAAGGATATGGTGTTGGAAATCACCCAGCGCGCAGCGAAGGTACTTCACGCCCAACCCCCACCCCTACCCGATCCTTGTTTGTCTCCTGGCGTTGACTGACCCGCCGACCCCAGCGCCTCTCCGAGATCATGGCTAAAGACTCGAACCCCAACCTCGCCCTTCGAATCCAAGTCGAGAGTGGCGGCTGCCACGGATTTCAATATCTCATGAAACTTGTGACGCTGCCCCCAGCACTCCCCACTCAGGATTCGCTTCGCCTCGGTACAGACGATCACTCGACCGTTATTCACGAGGACGATACCATCTTTACATATGCCTCTGACGGCAGCTCTTCTCCAGGAGATTTGACAGCACCCAAGATCATCCTTGACTTGCCCTCGCTGGAGCTATTGAAGGGTAGCAAGGTTGACTTCACCATGGAACTCATTGGGTCTCAATTTAAAATTGTTGACAACCCTCTCGCGACGAGTAGTTGCGGGTGCGGCACAAGTTTTGACATCAAAATATGACATAGCTACATCGTACTTAAGCCCAGCTGAGGCGCGACCGACCGACAGGAATTCAACGTTGTATACTACGATATAGACACGGAAGGGAAACAAGGCACTGTGCACGTTAGGTCATGGTGCTGACAACACTGTATGTAAATTCGGCCCCGTCCTGGCCAACGGCAGTAGACTAGCACGGAAATCTTGAGGGGTGAATCAGATGTGGTGCGCAAGAACGACATCGTGTTATATTCATTCCCTGTGAGCCATCCTGGCTGTCACTTAAACGCCGAGCACCCATGCCACCTATGACCGAGACGAAAACCGCAAACTACCCAAGCCGCCTTTTTAGTTCATTTGCCGGATGAGGGCGTTGATGTGCTCCTCCCGGTTGCCAAGGTCACCGCCCTCAATGAAGTGCTTGAACTTGCGGGTGCGGAAGCCGCCGTTAGGGTTGCTCAGCTTGAAGGGCCACAAGAAGTTGGAGGCCTGCTTGAAGTTGGGGCCGACGGTCATGATCTCGTGGATCAGGTCCTCCATGCAGATGATGCCGTACTTGCCGAGGTTCTCCTCAATGATTGCGTTGTCGGTGAGGGGGATGCGCTGGCCGTTGACCTTGCCGTATCCGCGCTTGTAAATGAGCTCCTTGACGCTCTTGAGGTTGGGGTAGCCGTAGGCAACCCACGGCTCAACAACCTTGATCATCTCGGCGGTGGCCTTGGTGATGCGAATGAAGACGCCGTTGTTGATTTGGAGGAGACGGAGAAGCTGAAGGATCTTGCGCGGCTTGGGGGCGATCTTGTTGATACTGGAACTGAGTTAGCGACTTGAGCGGGGAATACAAGCGAGGACGCGCGCTTACCCCTTGATACGGATGACGAAGATCAGCTTGGCCTCAGCGGGGACGTAGAAGGAACCATCCTGCTTGGCAACCCGGTTCAGGCGGATCTTCTCGCGCTCAGCATCGCGGTACTCCTTGACGTACTTCTCAGCACGCTTGAAGATAACGCCTCGCTTCTCCTTGTTGGCCTATGAATCATGTCAGCAACGTTCTGCTTCATGGTCACATTCTTGTTGCAAAAAGTCTTCCAGAGAGTTCGATCAGACCCGAAAGATGGTTAAGTTTAGCAACAGCATTGACGTTTGTCTAGTCGCTAGTTGTGTTGTGCATCACATCGTTCTCTAAAAGTTGCAAGTCGAGGAGAAACCAACCTTCTTCTGCTTGTCCTGCTCGGCAGTGCGCTCGGCGCGCGCCTTCTCTTGCGACTTGCGCTTCTTCAGGAGGGTCTCGGGAACGAGGACATCGTTCTGGGTCGGGACGGACCTGCGCGTTTAGATTAGTACGTAGCCCGACATACCGCGGTATGTGGTAGAGCGCCGGTGGAGAATTGCTGCTTAAGCGCGACATTCTCTCGTGGCTGACTCGACTGCCCAACGTTGACCGATGGGAAGCTCTACGGCAAGGGCGCCGTTACGGCAGCTCCAACGCCTTGAGTCAAGTACCATCTCGCAACACACCTTGGATAGTACCCAAGAGGTTCTGCTCGCATTGGAGACCAAGTCCTTTGGCCAAGACGCAGGGTCTGGTCATCGGCTGGCACTATGCGGCACTGAATTCAAGGGAGAAGGTAGAACCTTCAGCCCCAACACCCCACGACACATCTCTCAGTCTGCAAGTTGAATTGAATTCAAGCCTGGAGTAAAGAGGGAGAATCGCAGGAGGGATCGAGCTGGAGCGATGCCCGGTTCAAAGCTTCGAAGCCGGGAAAAGCATCCAGTGAGAGGACCACGCCAATCTGACATAAGAGATCTCGTCAAGTGACACACGACGATACCATTTAAACAATCAAGGAAAGGAATCGGGGTGAGGCATACGTGGGAGCCATCTTTGCGGATTGTCGACCTCTGCCGCGTTGCTGAGGTTGTCGTCTGCTCGGTTCACGATCGAGGAAAAGAAAATTCGCTTGGTGGGCACAAGAAAAACCTTAAGGTAGTCGCGAAAAGTGGGGTCAAGGTACGGAGGTACTTAGGGCTTGAGCACACTCGCCAAAATTCCCCCCTTCTGCTGCCCCTCACCGCCAACCTGAGTCGGGCATTCTTCGCACCCATCAAAATTCTCGATCTGAAGTGGAACATTTGCAGCGACAACCACCACCACAGCCAAAACAACCAGATCACGAAGAATGGCGCCCCCTAAGAGAGCCGCGCGTCCCGCGCAAGAGAACATTTCCCTGGGGCCCCAGGTTCGGGAAGGCGAGCTCGTTTTTGGCGGTGGGTAGCTCCTTTATATTTGCGATCGTCGCAATCCGCTAACAGACTTTGTTCACAGTTGCCCGCATCTTCGCCAGCTTCGTAAGCCGCAGTCTCCGGGACGAGTTGATTCGAGGCCACTACTAACCGTGCTATAAGAACGACACCTTCGTCCACGTCACCGATCTCAGGTTCGTCTACCACTGAACACCGGCTTTTACACGCGCGAGATCAGGACTTGGTTACGACGTTTTGTTCTGTATGAGTTCTTGAGGCTAATGTATCGGGTGTTTCTAGCGGACGTGAAACGATCTGCCGTGTCACTGGTGGCATGAAAGTCAAGGCCGACCGTGATGAGTCGTCTCCCTACGCTGCTATGTTGGCTGCCCAGGACGTCGCGGCCCGCTGCAAGGAACTCGGTATCACTGCGCTCCACATCAAGATCCGTGCCACCGGTGGTATGTTTGACTTGACCCAATTTACATGGTGATGGTTGCTAATATCTTTTTTTTTAAAGGTAACGGTACCAAGACCCCTGGTCCTGGTGCCCAGTCCGCTCTCCGCGCTCTGGCTCGTGCCGGCATGAAGATCGGCCGGATCGAGGACGTCACTCCGACGCCCTCCGACTCGACCCGCCGCAAGGGTGGTCGCCGTGGTCGCCGTCTCTGATTTATCAGAGTGTGGTGGTTGCCCTTTTGGGAGGAATTCGGTTCTCGTTTGGGTTTCTGCTGTGGTGTTAAGTACGAGGGGAACGGCATGACATTGCCTGGTCTCCACATCCTGGGCCTTTACCACATCCTTGCTTATGGGCACAGCCTGCAGCAGTGCAAATATCAAATCAAGAGCGGAGCTACAAAGGTAGCCCGCAACAACGCTGCCTTGCGTTGAGGTCACCAGCAGCTCCGAGATATCGGTCCTTTCCGGAAAACAATCATGACCGCGTCACCTGTTTCTTGCCAGCCTTTTATGCTTACCATCCCATCTTTTGAACTGCCATGTCCCGAGGTCGGCAGTCTCTGCTTGTCATTAGTGAGAAGTGATGGGTTGCTTGTGGCTAGATCCGTTTTTTCCCTATGTGATGTTCAAACGCTCACTTCACACCAACGATTGCGACCCGAAAGATTCGATTTATGCTTATTTCCTCTTGACAGTGAGGATTTCCCGAAACTGGTACCAAGTCCGGGGTTATGGGTATGGCGGGCAGCGGTGTGCACTGGATATTATTATTATTCATACTCCGCTATGCCCTAAGGCGTGCCGGACCCTCAGCTATTTAATGTACAGGAAAACCGCGCCCTCGCGGGCCGGATGAAAAACCCATACCGACAGTTAAGGAAAGTACATGTGCGTGAGCCTGCGTATACAAAGAGAGGAGGCCTCCTGGCCTCCGAGGGAGGTGCGTGCTAGGCCGCCGCTTCCAGCTCGAGCCTCCTGGCCAAACTGAACATCATCAGCCTCCCTGAGTCCATTAGCCATTCCAGGACCCTCCCCGCGAGCCGTGCCGATGTAGGATCAATACCGTGTAGAACAGAGTAAAAGTCCCGTCGCGTTCGAATATCAGTTCTCTCCCATCTTCGAGTCAGCGGTGGAGCCAAACACCACACCACCAGGTGTTCGGCAGTCTCCCGTCCCTCGCCGCACTGGCAGGCGGGCGTTAGGACCTCTGGGACTCCCCGTGTAAACAGAAAGTCCCGTAGGCCTACTGCCCCTGTCCGGATCTGGACCAGCAGAGAGCTCTTCGCCTTGCTCAGGCCGTCGTGTCGTCTTAGGGTTTCGTCCCGGAACAGCGTCTCCCGCTGATGGTCAAGGTCGTCCGCCGGTCTGATGACTGCTCTGCCGTCTCGTTCCTTCAGCCACCTCGCTCTCCAGGCGTCCTCTACCACACTGTCCGTGTCTGCGGCTCCCCCCGTCCAGCGCGCGATCGTGCTCGCGGCTTTCTCCACTGCCGTGGGCTCCTGCAGTCCCACGGTTCGCGGCCGGCCCCTGTTGCCGCTCCTCGGGTGGAGCCTCTGCTGTATCTTGCGACAGGCAGTGAGAATGATGCCCCCTGCGGTCCTCTTGCCGCCCTGGCCGTCGTCCAGGTCGGTTCGCTGGAGTCTGGTTTCAAAGTCTGCAAGCCGTTTGTTGAAATACAGGTCCAACGGTGGCACCCACGTCTCTGTCTCGAGGTTGCGAATGGGAGTGGCTTTGAAGGCTCCCGCCACAATCCGCAAGCTTTTGTTCTGGACCTTCCCGAGGGCCCCGGTGATGCCTTTCTTTACCGGCTCGCCTTCCACGTCCGTGGGGATGTGGAACGACGATGCGCCATAGGCCAGCGCCGACCGGATGCACTTTGTGTACACTTCTCGCGCTTTGGCTAGCCCTAGTCCCCACGTTTTCGCCGCTATTCTCGACAGTGCGTAGCTCTGGGTCTTCATTTTCTTTTCCACCGCCGCAAGGTGGGCTGTGCACTGGATATTTGCTCACATTACTTAGAATATCTTGATGAATGATGGTAACAAAATGAGGCTTCACCAACCGATGAGATATCGATCGGCCTTTGCCATGAACTGGTTTTGTGACAAGATATGTTTTTTATTTGTTCCGTTATGTTGTTGAACCGATGAAAATATGTTTGGAGACAAAGCATCATGAGCAGTCAAACGGTCACCTAAAACAGCCAAAAGACTGTGCGCAAGGAGTGTTCATGAGTTTGTCTGCGTTTCTCTGGTCTACCGTGGTGCAGCATTAACGCACCGAGGGCCAATTTTTGATACGGAACATGCCCAAATCCCAATGCAATCGCAAATGAAAGTCATGCAGCCTTATCGTCCAGAGCCTAACCGCGCACCGCAGCACCCAGGGCGCCGCCTGTAAACTGTGTACCACCGGCCTGCCGCTGAGCATTGCCACCAGCCCTTGCACCTCCCCTGCCACTCCGCTGCCCACCGCCCCTCTGGCCGCCCTGCCTACCATCTTTCCTGCTGAAGGCATTCGCTGACCCTTGGGTTCTAACCTCGAGGGTACGTTCGTTTGTCTCAATCAAAGCGCTTGCCTTGTCCGAGAGCGCCAGAGCCAAGCTCTGCAGGCGGCTGAGCTCCACGCCCTTGCGGAAGATGACCGTCTTAGTGACTTGGTCCAAAGCAGCGGCGAGTTCCTCGTGGCTGATCATCTTGCTGACCACAGCAGAAACCTTGACCGAATCGAGCTCGAACATCGTGCTCAATGTCTCAATGGCCAAAGTATCGTAGAATGGGGCGTACGTGAAAAGGTATGTCCGCAGACCCTCTTCCTGGATTTGTTTGGCAAGCATCGCCTTGATTTCTTCTGAGCTCGGCATGAGATCCCAGATCTTGATGCTGTGGATGAAGTGGGTAGCCTTCTTCCATTCCCCGGCGGCAAGGGCCTTGGATGCCTGCATGACGTGATCGCGAGTGTTTTCCGGCGGACCCGTGAAGATTTGCCGCTCGTGGTACTCAAGCATCCGGCGGTACGTCTTGCTGATGACGCGCTTCTTGATATCCGGCGAAGAGCCAATTTGCGCCAAGAGAGGGATCTCAAGAAGCATGCTGCACGTCAGGTAGACGCACTCGAGAAGCTCGAGATTAATGTGCATATGGAAAGGTAGCTGCCTTTGCTTCTCAAGGCGCTCTTGTTCGGGGGTCACCTGGTTGTACCGCTGCATCATCACGCCTTGAGCAAGAAGCTCTTTTTGACGCCCACTGCCGCAGATATCCTGCAACGTGTTTTGAGCATCGTACACTAGCCCTCGCCGGAATGCGCAGAGGCCGACCTGGACGAGTGTGCGGTTGTACAAAATCTGGGTGGCGACATCGAAGTTCGCGATGCTCTCTTGCAAGTGAGAGGTGAGCATCATGTCGCGAGCTTTGTAATACTCGTCGTGCAAAGCCAGGAAATAAATCTGGGAAAGCATAGCACGGGCACGAATGATGCCTTCGCTGTTGTCGAACAAGTAATTGCACAGGGTGTACATCAGTTTGCCGGCATCACCCGACGCGCCACGAGGGGTGATTGCAGAATCGACACCGCTCGAAACTTGCTTCCAGGCGTTCTCCTCCAGGATCTTAACAACTTGAGCGGGCTAAAACATGTTAGTAAGGGGTGCATAAGCAAAACGGGAGATGGGTTGGCTCAGCCACATACCTTGAAGTAGACATGGTCCAGGCGCCGCTGGATGATCCGGTTCAGGCTCTCTTGGGGAATTTCCAGTGACGCATCCTTCCGGATAGTCTCGTAGTAGAGCAAGCCTTGGAGGATGATGTTGTAAAGAGACGCCTCGTCCGTCAGCCTCTCGATGTATTCTGAGGTGTGAGGGTCGATGCTTTGCAGCGACCGAGTGAGCTCGTCATCTAGGCGCTCAATGTACGACACCACGCTGCCGGGAACCTTGATGTACTTGTCGTCGGGCCCTAGAATGGGGGTCTTATCGTCGTCTTCCCATTCCTCCGCACCCTCGATCACAACGTGGTCCTTGTGTGTCTCGAGGAGCGTGAGCAACGCAGCCAGTTCCCTTTCTGCAGCCTTCCAATGGTCCAGAGGCATCGACGTTGTTGTACCAGAGCCGAGATCGAACCGAGCCGAAACAAGCGTCTGCAGAACCCGAATCTTGAGATAAGGGGTTTCAGCGACCTTGTTAAGCTCCTCCATAATCTTGATCTGTTCCCCACGGTCTGTGTTCTTCCTGCCCCTTGACTCGACGATCGCGCGAAGGTGCTTCTGGATGCTCTCGGGGGAGAAAGGAATAGCCTTTCCGCGTTTGTCGACTCTGGCGAAACCTTTATCCTCGTCCTCCGCCGCTTCCTCGGGAGCGGCTGCCTCCTGAAATCGAACCTTGGTCTTTGGCGCCGGAACTTCTTCCTCGTCCGATTCCATAAAGTCATCGCTGTCTTTCCTGAACGCATCGATCTGGGCTTGGTAATCTTTGTTGTTCTTCTTGATACGTTGCTTGACCGCATTGAGACCACGGGCATTGGTGGCATTCAGCTTCTTGTTCTTGGGCGTAACCTTCTGCTTTGCGAGCGTCTCATTCAAGAAATCTTCCAATTCGGCGATGCACTTAATGTATGACTTCGGGGCTTTGCCACCATCTTGGAGCTTAACGACTTGTCGATTAAGTTTATCGAACTCTGAATTCCGTTAGCGAGGGGCCTTCGAGAAACTAAAATCCACATACCATTTGCAATGGAACCCCAGTCATCGATTTTCTGGCGGTTTTGAATGGTGGTGATCGTAGCCTCTAGCTCGTCGAACCGCTTGTCCTTGGCACTCTTGACCTTGGTGGCGCCTTCCTCATCACTGCCCTCGCTGTCTGATGATGCCTGGTCGACAAGGAAACGGGACAAGCCCGTCTTCTTGGGACCCTCATCCTCGTCGCTGGACTCCTCCTCGTCCTCCTCCTCAGAGGATTCTTCCTGGTCCTGGTCCTCCTCCTCCTCCTCCTCGGAGGTGGAGTACAGCTCCTCCTCGTCGGAGCTGCTCTCGGACGAGCTGTCGTCACCGCCGCGGAAGAATCGGGACATGCCGAGAATTAATTCTTAGTGCGCACGGGGTCTAGTGGGTAATCGATGATGTCGGTCGCGATACGCCGTGGCGTTGTGCTGGCGAAACAAGGAGCGAAAACCGAGTAGAGGGGTTGATAATATTTTCAGTGGATGGTGGTTTTTTGGTGGGGCGATTTGGGGCTGGGCGGGTGGAAAACGCAAAAGTCGAGACCCACCAATTCTCCACCTCCACTTTTGCCACCAGAATGTCAGTGTTCAAGGTCAAAGTAGCAGCACTATAATGTACAGGCCTGCCTGGTAAGCCTGGGTAAACAAGTTTGCGCAGGAGGCCGGAAAGGGAGGGTTCCCGATCAAAACCAAACAATCCCGAGTCATTTTGGGTGACTCATTTTCTGCGCCACAGAAGTCAGCTGATATCTCACGTGAAGTGTAAATTACCATAAACAAATACATTACAATACAACTGTAATTTTTGTCACAGAATGCTATTATGTATCTATCGAGGTGATCAGGTAATCGAATCTCTGCCAGGCTGCGCGCCAGCATCTTCGCGCCACCTGCTTCGCGAGAGCTCTTCCAGATTTTTTGTATCTGAGCATCGGCCAAGTTTTGGCTTCATCGCATCAACTCCCCACAACACGCGACCACCATCTCAATCTGCTAGGGGATTGTCGTTGCGGTTAACTTTTCCATGGATTTATCCTCCAAATCCATTTCTTATTGACACCCGAACCACCGCCGAGAGCGTAGCCGCATCGAGTACTCTTCGGCGCGTCAAGGGAATCCCCTTCGGTGTTGAAGCTCATCCGAGTAGTAGTGGGTCAACGATCTCGCGATGTCTTCGTTTCCGCCGCCGCCGCCTCCCCCAGGCTGGGGTCCGCCGCCTCCGCCTCCTACCCCTCCTCCGCCAGGTCCCCTATCATCGCTTCCCCCCCCTCCGGCGATCCCAGCGCCGCCGCCGCCGGGGTACCGCCCCCCGACCGATCCTCAGATTGCCAAATTCGCACAAAAGAAGAAGGAATGGCTTCGCATGCAGCGAAATCGGTTTGGCGAGAAGAGGAAGGGGGGATTCGTGGAGACGCAAAAGGCCGACATGCCGCCAGAACACCTGCGGAAGATCGTCAAAGACATCGGTGATGTCTCCCAAAAGAAGTACACCAGCGACAAACGCAGCTACCTTGGCGCCTTGAAGTTCATGCCACATGCGGTCATGAAGTTGCTGGAGAACATGCCCATGCCCTGGGAATCGGCCCGCGAGGTCAAAGTCTTGTATCATGTCAACGGATGCTTGACCCTCGTCAACGAGACGCCTCGCGTCATCGAACCCGTCTTCTTTGCACAGTGGGCCACCATGTGGAGTACCATGCGGAAGGAAAAGAGAGACCGGAGGCTATTCAAACGCATGCGGTTTCCGCCATTTGACGATGAAGAGCCCCCGTTGTCCTGGTCGGAGAATATTGAGGATGTCGAGCCGCTGGAGCCTATTCAGATGGACCTTCACGAGGAAGAAGAAGAAGCCGTTTACGAATGGTTTTACGACCACCAACCACTCCTCGACACATCGCACGTAAATGGGCCAAGCTACAAGAGATGGAATCTCACGCTACCGCAGATGGCCAATCTGTACCGTCTGAGTCTGCCGTTGGTGTCTGACGTCGTCGACCAAAACTACTTCTACCTCTTTGAGTTGAAGAGCTTTCTGACGGGGAAAGCACTGAACGTCGCGCTCCCAGGTGGCCCTCGTTTTGAGCCGCTTTATAAGGACATCGACCCCAACGACGAAGACTTTGGCGAGTTCAATGCGATGGACCGTATCATCTTCCGGAACCCAATTCGAACGGAGTGCCGTGTTTCTTATCCGTACCTGTACAACGCGCTGCCGCGGAGTGTGCATCTCTCCTGGCATTCTCACCCTCAGGTCGTCTACCACAAACCCGAAGATCCCGACCTCCCTGCGTTTTACTTTGACACCAACATCAACCCGATCTCATCCCGCGCAGTTGCGCCGAAGAACATCACTGTGAGCCATGAGGATGAGCTATTTGGGCAGGGCAACGTCGAGGAGCCGGAGGAGGAGGCCTTTGAGCTCCCCCCGGCGGTTGAGCCTTTCTTCGCAGACGATGAACTTTCCACCGACGATACAGCGTCCGCGATCGAGCTATGGTGGGCGCCTTTCCCTTTTGACCGTCGTTCTGGACGCATGGTGCGAGCCCAAGATGTACCGCTCATCAAACACTGGTACCTGGAGCATTGCCCTCCCAAGCAGCCTGTCAAAGTGCGAGTCTCGTACCAGAAGCTCCTCAAGACCTACGTGCTCAATGAGCTGCACAAAAAGAGGCCCAAGTCGTTGCAGAAACAGAATCTGCTCAAAACGCTCAAGCAGACAAAGTTTTTCCAGCAAACGACGATTGACTGGGTCGAAGCTGGACTCCAGGTCTGCCGTCAAGGTTTCAACATGCTCAATCTGTTGATTCATCGCAAGAATCTTACATACCTCCATCTTGACTACAACTTCAACCTCAAGCCTGTCAAAACATTGACGACCAAGGAGCGGAAGAAGTCACGCTTTGGAAACGCCTTCCACCTAATGCGCGAGATCCTGCGTCTGACAAAGCTTATCGTGGATGCTCAGGTGCAATACCGGCTTGGTAATATTGACGCTTTTCAACTTGCTGATGGTATCCTGTACGCTTTCAACCATGTTGGGCAACTGACGGGTATGTATCGGTACAAATACAAGCTCATGCACCAGATCCGCTCGTGCAAGGACATCAAGCATTTGATATACTACCGGTTTAACACCGATTCCGTCGGCAAGGGGCCGGGTTGCGGTTTCTGGGCGCCGTCATGGAGGGTCTGGTTGTTCTTCATGCGGGGCATCATCCCGCTGCTCGAGCGTTGGCTCGGCAATCTTCTCTCACGTCAATTCGAGGGTCGTCACAGCAAAGGAGTCGCCAAGACTGTCACGAAGCAGCGTGTCGAGTCACACTTCGACTTGGAATTGCGTGCCTCGGTAATGGCCGACTTGATGGACATGATGCCGGAAGGGATCAAACAGAACAAGGTCAACACGGTCCTTCAACATCTTTCGGAAGCCTGGAGGTGCTGGAAGAGCAACATCCCTTGGAAGGTTCCTGGCCTGCCTGCCGCCATTGAGAACATCATCCTGAGATACGTCAAGTCGAAGGCAGATTGGTGGATTTCGGTTGCCCATTACAACCGAGAACGCATCCGAAGAGGCGCTACCGTCGATAAGACTGTGGCCAAAAAGAACGTTGGGCGTCTTACCCGCCTGTGGCTGAAAGCTGAACAGGAGAGGCAACATAACCACATGAAGGACGGTCCGTACGTTTCATCCGAGGAAGCTGTCGCCATTTACACCACCACTGTTCATTGGCTCGAGTCCCGGAAGTTCTCGCCCATCCCTTTCCCAAGCGTCTCATACAAGCATGACACCAAAATTCTCATCCTAGCCCTCGAGCGGCTGCGCGAAGCCTATTCCACCAAGGGCAGGCTGAACCAGAGCCAGCGTGAGGAGCTTGCCTTAATCGAGCAGGCATACGACAGTCCCGGGACCACCTTGGAGCGGATCAAACGCTTCCTGCTCACGCAGCGGGCTTTCAAGGAAGTCGGCATCGATATGAACGACAACTACAGCACCATCAATCCTGTTTACGACATCGAGCCCATCGAGAAGATCAGCGATGCGTATCTTGACCAATACCTTTGGTATCAGGCCGATCAGCGCCACCTTTTCCCCGCGTGGATCAAACCTTCCGACTCTGAAGTTCCCCCTCTTCTGGTCTACAAGTGGGCGCAGGGCATTAACAACCTTGACAAAGTCTGGGAAACGGCGAATGGCGAGTGCAATGTTATGATCGAGACGCAGCTATCAAAGGTCTATGAGAAGATCGAGCTGACGTTGCTCAACTCGCTGTTGCGTTTGATCATGGACCACAACTTGGCCGATTACATCACTGCCAAAAACAACGTCACCTTGACCTATAAGGACATGAGCCATGTCAACAGCTACGGCATGATCCGCGGCCTCCAGTTTTCAGCCTTTGTTTTCCAGTACTACGGCCTGATTCTCGATCTTCTGCTTCTTGGTCCCCAGCGAGCGAGCGAGATTGCGGGCCCTCCGCAGAGCCCCAACGACTTCCTCCAGTTCCAAGATCGCGAGACTGAAACCAGGCACCCCATCCGGCTCTACACTAGATACATCGACAAGATCTGGGTGTGCCTGCGCTTCACGGCTGATGAGTCGAGGGACCTTATCCAACGATTCCTTACGGAACAGCCCGACCCTAACTTCGAGAACGTCATCGGGTATAAAAGCAAAAAGTGTTGGCCTAGGGACTCACGAATGCGGCTGATGAGACATGACGTGAATCTCGGGAGGGCCGTTTTCTGGGACCTCAAAAACCGGCTCCCAAGGTCAGTCACGACGGTTGAGTGGGAAGACACATTTGCTAGTGTTTACAGCAAAGACAACCCCAACCTCTTGTTCTCCATGTGCGGTTTCGAGGTGCGCATTCTGCCCAAGATCCGCAATCAGAATGACGAATTTCCGGTCAAGGACAGCGTCTGGTCGCTTGTCGATAACACAACCAAGGAACGGACCGCACACGCGTTCCTCCAGGTGACTGAGGAGGACATCCAGAAGTTCAACAATCGTATCCGCCAGATTCTGATGTCGTCCGGCTCCACAACCTTCACCAAGATTGCGAACAAGTGGAACACTGCCCTGATCGCCTTGTTCACATACTACCGCGAGGCGGCAGTCTCGACAGTCAACCTGCTTGACACTATTGTCAAGTGCGAGACCAAGATTCAAACTCGGGTCAAGATCGGCCTGAACTCGAAAATGCCGTCGCGTTTCCCCCCGGCCGTGTTCTACACACCAAAGGAGCTCGGTGGTCTTGGCATGATCTCCGGCTCTCATATCCTGATTCCGGCAAGTGACAAACGATGGTACAAGCAAACTGATGTCGGTGTCACGCATTACCGTGCGGGGA